GCCGTACAGGCCCAAATGCCCCAAAGTTGCACGGTTGTCGTTGAAGGACCTCGCCTGCCTCCGATAAGATCACCTGACTGCTGTTGTTGTTTCTGTTGTCGCCTCTTGGATCCACGCCACATGTTTGTTCCGTCAGAGTCTGGCTAGTTGTGCTTTGGACGTCCTTGTTTGTAGACACTTGGCAGCAGTTGCCTTCTCCACATGAAGCACCGTGATTGGTGCTGCTCATCCCTCCATCTGTGTCTTCAGATGTTTCCTCCGCTGCATCTTCATTGTCCTCAGCAGCTACCTCATTCGTTTGATCTTTGACCTCTGTGCTCCCGTTCGCCGATTCCTCGCCGTCGGCGACCTCGCTCGCTTCTTCGTCGGCAGCACTTGCGATGCGTGAGAGAGTGCTGTGATACCTGGTGTCCAGAGGGTAGCCAGCACTGTCACCCCTCCTCAGAGGAGTAAACCTCTGTCTTTCTAAGGATGGGGAGTACCTGCCCCCTGTGCTTGACCCCGGGTCACTGTATTGCTTTTGCCTTTGCCACTGTTTTCGGAGGTGAACTCTGGAGCGGTGCCTGGAGCGCATCGGAGAGTCCTGCTGGTCGAAGCGCGGATCGTGACGGAGGAACTCGTTGAAGAGTGCATCGGTTTTCTCGTCTATGCTGTAGTCACGGCGACGGAGGCGGGGCCTGTGAGGACTAGAGGGCTGTGAAATGGACTTCATCAGTGGAGTGACCAGCTGTGATTGTGAGTCTGGAGGTTTGTGGTGGTGATAAGACTTTAGAGGATGGTGTGGTTCTTTCAGGACGTGCGATTGGCTGCCGTTGTGAGATCTGTTCTTGACTTCCTCTTCTGTCCCTGTGCTGTCTCCCATCTCGTCTTCTAGCTCCTCCTGGAACAGTTTGGCCTCAGTGCTCTCACACACCGAACCTTTTCTTCCAGAGCTGGTGAAGAACAACCTTCTCTCCGATGCCGTCTTCCCCCTTGGGGCTCCAGGTGTCCCAAAGAGTCGCATCTCTTCGGGGGCCCTGGTCGGTGCTTCTATTGAGGCGTAGCCACTGTCCATTTGAAGTAGCTTCCGGTTTCCTGACTCATTTTCTCCTCCAGCTCCACTGCCCAGGTCGATGTCCCCCCCAGACGCCCCCCTGATTCCTCCATCCAACATCTCTCCATCTCCATCTCCCTCTGGATAATCATCCAGATCTTGGGACAAACAACTGTCCAGACCAGGACGAGCCCCGGCACACCCGTAAGATGAGACGCTGTCGGCATCACTGCGGATGGATTCCCGATCTGTGCTGCTCTGGTCGGAGGAGGCGTATTGTTCCAGAGAAGCTCTTAAGCTCCAAATGTCTCTGTACAAGGATGGAGGAGCCTCTAAGCTCTCCTGCCGAGTCACGAAGGAGAACGAGGAGCCCGAGTCCGCTCTTCGCCTGGCTCCAGCACCTAACGCTGCTTCTTCTCCATCGTCCATGTCCACGTCATTCTTTTTCCTTTCTTCACCAGTCGTCTCCTCTCTTTTTGTGTCTTTACTTTTTATTAATTTGTCTCCAAACTGGCTCTGCACTTCTCTTTGTTCACCAAACAAATCATCTTCTGTGGCTCCTGCTTTACCGAGCTTCACAAATAATCCAGGTTCAGTCTTGTTTTCTAATCCTAATCCGTTGGTTGTCGCCTTCTCTCCTCTCTGGGCAGGGCAGAGTTCCTTTCTCTTGGTGCCGCTGCCTTCACGGACCTCCACCATTGACTCCAGGTTTGGCCTGCACAAAGTCAGAAACATTACATTAAACACGCCACTGTGAGAGGTGACAAAGGAAATGCAGTAAAAAAAACTACCTGCTGAGGAAGACTGAGGATGTGGTTGCGGATGTGTGTTGAGATAGAGACTCTGCAGACAGGGACTGGAGGCCGCTGCTCTGGATTGGTGTATCTGGTAGAGATTCTATGACCTCATCTTGAAGGGATAGAGCCTCATCCTCGGTGTGATCTGTAGTTTCACTTGCTGCTCTCTGTCTCTGGAAGGGTCTTCTCTTTGGTGAACCTATTTCATCATCACATAGTTGGATGTTATTTCCCATTGCTATCTCAGTTGTCCACATATAAGTCCTGTCAGTTGCGTGTGACATTTATTCAAACCTTTGGCGTCCAGACTTGCCGCCCGGTGACTGCTGTCGAACTTCCACCTTTTGAAGTAAGGCCCTGCTCCTTCCAGACTGGCGTGTCGCCGCAGTTTAGAGAAGAAATGGAGAACTGATGTCTGGCTGGCTGCTTGACTCAGGTCTACTTTCACAGTCCTTCCATTCTCAGCCTCACCTCTGTCCCCAATCGCCTCCATCTGACAGAGCAGATGAAGACAAAGGATGATGGAGTGAGGTGATAAGATGTTAAGGAGCAGTTGAGGCAGATAAGATGAGATGAATCGTGACGGACAAAAGGAAAGACATCGGACAGCAACAGTCGGTCCTGTCACTCTGCTGCAGAGGTTTGATGCATCAGTACAGTTACAGGAAACTCAGCTTCTTCAGTCTGAGCTCAAAAAAGATGGTGGAAATGACTAATCTGTGAGCATCAAGGTGCAGAAGAAAAAGAAATGATATTTGAAGAAGAAGTCAAGTCAATATTATTTTTATAGCCCAGATTCACAAATCACATTTGTCTCGTTGGATTTTTAATTGAATACTTTAAATATCTTCCTAAAAAACATTTGACAGGGAGAAATAATTATTTCTAAATTCTACATAATTCATCACAGCTGCGTATTTAACCAGTGAAGTCACCCGACTTTGATTTGGGTTGTACAGTTCATGCTGCTCTGCTAACAACCAAAACAATGTGTGAATGCTCGCTGTCAAGTAGAGTTTTATTGGACGGTTGACGTTAGGTGTACGGTCATGAAAAGAATGACAAAAAGAGGATTGAACTCACTGTCTGTGAGCGTATGTGCTGTGCTTTCATGGTGGACAAGGTCTGATGTAGTCCCTGGTCCAAGATGATGGAGTGGTGAGGGTCACCTGGCAGACCTCCACTGAGGCCCTGTCCCAGCCACTCAGGGACTCGTCTCTCTGCAGGCTGTGGAGGGAAATGAATATTTATTAATAACATTCAAACACACTCCTCAGTGATTCTGAATACCATGTACAGTGATACCAGTACCAGCAGGTATGTCACCTGGTAAATAGCCAGCGGCAGCTTTGGCGCTGCGGCCTCACTGATGTTCACCGTGCTGCTGTCTGCAGAGTCGCACTCCATGATGGTGAGGATCTTCAGGTCACATGGGGCTGGTGGCAGGTGGAGGTGGGTCAGTCTGGCCTTTTTCAGGTGGTGGAAGTCTCCTTCAGTCAGAGTGTACCTGATGAGACGGAGGAGAAGTCATTCATCTTTCATCAAATTAAGAAATAAACCAGAGGCTGATCAGACTGGTCGACCTTCAGACCTGCGTCCTTTGTCCTGAGCGGTCTTCTCCTGTTCGTAAAGCGTAGATTCGTTGAAGGAGACCCTGCGACCAGTTGACCCGGTGGAGACGAAACGTTCCGGCTCTCCTTCATGGCAGCTCGAAGCTGAGAGGGCGTCTGATTCATCCAGACGGATGGTGATATCTGAGAGGACAAAGAAAAGATTTAAGATGATGGAGAGAACTGTCCTAAACATACACAAAAAAAGTTAAAAATACTGACCTTGAGTGGGCTGTGAATCCTCAGCATAAGTGGTATTTGTTTTCTCAGGGTCATCACTGGCTCTGGAACAAAAAAGAAATCTATAAATATGATTTATTCCAACAGAAGTTCAACATGTTTTTATACTTTTTGATCAAACACATCTATTAGGAAGTCTTCTAGAGGGATATTACCACAGGGAGCTGTTTCATTTGACTTTGACTGCTTCAAGAAATGAATTGAAAAGACAAATATTGAAGCATTTAATTCTGGATGAAGACAGTAAGGTTTGGTGAGCCCAGAAATTGCAGCCTAACAATCTTGTGAAGATGAAGGCCAGGGTATATTTTGAGTTACTCTGCCAGGATTCATCGAGACTCAAATAGTCTGAATTGACTGTTTCAGGGAGAATGAGTCATCATTTTCACATTTGGATTGGTCTCTGCAGGGATAATCTTTGGGATTTTTTTTTTCTGACACAGCCTGTTTATATATAAATACAGCTAAAGTCCCTGCGTGCTCGCTGATAAACCAGCTGCCTGCCAGTGCCACACAAACACGCTCCCTGGAGGCAGGCTTCACCTGGAGTAGCGCCGTCCTCCCATACAGCAGCGGTGGCAGAAGAGGAGCAGCAAGGAGAGCAGAACCAGCGTCCCCCCGGCGAACACACTCAGCAGCACCAACAACAGCACATAGTTCTCCACCTGATCCGCTGACACAGGCACTTCCTGGCAGGTGCAAATGCAAAAAGAATAAAATAGGTTAAAACTCTGAGGATGGTACGTTTACTTTCAGTTCACACACACTGCTCCTCTGTCTGAGGACTGAATCCAACTGTTCAGTTTGAGGAGAGAAGTAGACAAAACCTCATTGTTTGTCTGGGTTGTGACCCTCAGGTGGGTCGCAATAGGTTTTTTTCTTGGGTCGTCTTGCATCATGTTTCCCATGTCTATTGACTTGGGGCGTGAAGGTTTGTGACTTTTAAAATATGGGTTTCCAGAAAAAAAGTTTGGGAAACACTGCAATACAGTATTTATAATAGGTGGACTATCAGCAGTTTCCAAAACATTTTTTCATATGTCGCTATATTTTTAGCCTCTTAGCTGACTTTTGTCATCTTTCAGCTAATTCTATTCTTAGGCAAACTTTAATCTATTTTGCAGTCCTCTATTTTTTTACTACTCTTTTTTCACTATTTCCCATTCATTTGTTTGTGCTCTTCTGGCCAACATTTTTACCATGCCTAGCTTGACTGATTTGTCAAGTTAAACAGCTTTTGGCCAACTCTCAGCTTGATAATATATTTTAGTGTTCTATTTTCTCGAGCTGGAGATTGCGTTTAGCAATAATGTCTGTGATTCACACAGTTTCCAGTCTTTGTTTGTGTTTTTCATCCGGACTTCTCAGTACAGAAAACCAAAGCCCGAGGTCATAAATTATTCATTCATTATCCCAACAACCCAGAGTCCTACTGTATGCGTGTTCATGTTTTGTTGGCTGAGACAGTAATTGATTCTTGGCTTTAAGCTCGGTGGTAATTGTTTCATTAGGGCGTCATCTGGGCAGTGTAATATTTAATAAGAAGAGGAATTAACACTCAAAGGCTCTCTAAAGTCCTCTTCCAGTGGATTTTATTCACACACAGATAACACAGCTGCTCTCTTCCCAGCTCTCCCTGATTAACACTGAGTCTTCACTGAGTAAGCCCAGGGATGCTAATCGAAACGTCAGCGAGACCCTTAATTCAATTTCTCAGCTTTCCACAATGACGAGGAAACGAGGCCTCCACGAGCTAAATATGGAAATCACAGGAAGCGACCAGTGCAGACGCACTTGTGAAATCCCCGCACTAGATGTTCCGGGCTCTTCTTCTCATGTCACTTAAGAAGAGAGGGAAAATGATGGGGAATTATCACTGACACAGAGGGATATTCATTATTAGCTAACCAACTCCCACTGACGACAAAACTAGAACGCTTCGAGAAAAGGAGACTCTGAAAGTGCGTAAATAAATGAATAAAATGTATGACTATGAATCTTTTGTGGCTGCCCAGGATGTCAATCAGTGCTGCTGAAGAAGGGGGGGTGGAGAGGGTCAGGGGAGGAAGAAGACAACGATGATGTGTGAGAATTAAAACATTGTTATTTTCTCCCTTTTCATTCCGCAGCAATCCTGCTCCAGGCCAGAGAGCGTTGACGTGAGCACTGTGTCTCTTATGGACTGCGGTCCATTCCTGTCTTCATCAGATGCTGTGGTGGCCTACATTCACTTACAGCCTGTGGGGAATTTCACCCTATTATGTTTGAAGCTGTACAAGTATGTGCTTGTTATGTGTGTGTGTGTGTGTGTGTGTACTGTATGTGCGACTGACTAACAGCTCCATCAGAGCACACTGGCAGCGCACACACAGAATGTGCCTGTCTGTAGCTTAATGAAATCTGTTGTTTTTTACAAGCACAGCCAAACAGCAAGAACAACGCCATCAATCATCAGTAGCAGCAGCAGCAGCAGCAGGAGGAGGAGGAGGAGGAGGATTTTTCCGCTCTCCATGTTTCTAACACTCTGAGCAGATACAAACCACAGGCAGACAGACAGCTTCAACTGTCAGATAACCAGAGATGTCCTGTCCTCCTCCAGAGACAGTGTGAAGCACGTACAGTCCTGAGTTTGACCTACGTTCTCTTTACTTACAGATTAAACTGTTCTTCACTCTTGGCCCAGCTGGGATCATTTAAGTTCTGCTGGAACATTGTGGTTCCAATGCCCCTCTCTCTTACTCTGTCTTTGTCTCTTTCTGTCAGAACCACGGACGCGTTCTTATGTGTGCTGGAGCCCTGGGCTGAAAACAGGTGATTTCAGTCCAAGACAGTGTTGAACACACAACATAAATTACTTACAGCAAAAACTTTATATCTCGACCTTTAATAATTTTGCTACTTTTTAATATCCGTGTAACTTAAGCTAAAGCTAAGTTCACTACTTCACAGCGTGAATTCTGCCTTTATATCTGCCATGACGATTGTCAAACACTTGTAGAGTGCAGGCGGTTGTGCTATTTTGACCAGTAGACGGCGACATTATGCAGAAAATAAAATGAAAAATATGCACAACCAACAACATTTAAAAATGCACAATAGACAAGTATTAAACCCGAGATTCTTCACTTAGAAGACTAGGTCTCTTACCACTAGATCAAGGACCGCTACATCAAGTCACTAATGGAATTAATATTGTTTTATTTAATATACATTCCCTAGAGTGCCTTTAAATAACCCCATGTGTGCCCCCTTTTGAGAACCACTCATCTCTCCATTAGATGCTGTTCCATCAATAGGGAAACCCTCGCTCTTCGTTTTCCTCTGTCTCTCACGTCTTATCACCTTGTCAGCTGATGCAAAGGTGAGTTCACATCTATCATGTTAATAGTGGCAGGGATGCTGCAGTACTCACAGTGGAGTTCTCAATCAAACTCTTCAGAACAGGCAAATCATTGCTCATGGTCTTGGTCAGTGTGGTTGAACCCTGCAGAGCACAGAGAAGGTGCAGGAGGTCAGACAGAGCTGATGGATCTCAACACAACCATTACACTTCTTTCCTTCTGGTTTCTGTTGAAGTCCTCAAAGTACAGGCGGTTTTATGGATCATTTTGTTCTGAACCCATCCTGTGAAAACCATCAGTGACTCAGTGCCAAGAATAACTATGTTCTGAGACATCAAGTAATCAAGATGTGTCATAGAAGAACAGATATTACCTCAGCTTTCAGCATTGTTTTCCCAAACAGAACTGAAGTAGCCTAACATCAATAATAGAATATTTTTACAGCTGACCTTTTAATGTTTGAAAAGTTAGTGCTCTGACCTCGTCAGTACAGATGCAGATGGGTTATAAATTAGAGGCAAAATGTCCTAAAAAACATTACATTGGTTCATTGCCTCTGTGAAACAGTCAAAGATGGAAAGACAATAAGGGGAAATACAAGACAAAAGCCCAGAATAGATCAAGTTGAAGTTTACATTAGCCAGAAAAACAAGTTAATTTTCCTGACCCCCAAAAATCACAAAGATAACAGAATTTACTATCATTATTATACTTTGATTGAAAAGTATTTAAATCAATAGCAGAGAGTCTGTGTTATAGGGTCAGTAATTACTAAGGTCTATTCCATCATCATTGATGCAGCACCCACAAGATTTGTCAGCCTGGATCGGTGGAACTCAGAGAAATCAGAGCAAATCTGACAAAGTTATTTCTGTAAAAAAATGTCCTTTCTATCTAAAATAGGTGTAATGTCCCTTTAAAACAGCATCAACTGACAGCTATTATTAATACATAACAGTAATCAAGCCTCTCTGTCATTGTCATTTCCAGCTGCCGACGCCGGTCACAGCTGTGTAAAAATGACTGTCAGTGTGATGTTGGGAGACAGAGAGAAGCAGAGGAGCTGGCAGTTCACCATTATTTATACACAGTGTTGCTTGTGTAACATCAGTCCAGGATTGGCTCTCTGACACACACACACACACATACTTTCACTGTGTGAGGATCCTATATTTTATGTAATATGTCACACTTCAAGCTCAAGGTAACAACCTGAGAGCGTTCTGACTTGTAAAAATTCACTGACGTTTTAAATGTATTTATTTCATCAATTCCTCCGTCACTGTCATTCATTGTTCTGCTGCTGAACACGTCTGTCACCTCCTGACTGACTGAATGAAAAGCTGTTGGAAGGATTCACAGCTTCTTCAGTGAATAAAACATTTCTCTTTTTCAATGTTCAAGGTTTTAAAAACCTTGAACCTCAGTGACGCTCACATTTTCCTGTGTTTAGTTGTTGGTTTTTTTCTTCTTCTTTTTTTCTAGTGAAGACATGGCAGGGTTTTTATATCTACTGTGTAACGTGTATATCTAAAGTACTACAGTGGGAGTCGTTTATGTACTTATACATATAAATATCTGTATGTGTGTATATCTGTACAGCAGTGTAACCTGATAATTAGGTCATTTCCTGGTGTGACTTATAGTACACAGTGCTAACACATACAAATCCTTCTTTTTTACATGCAGTGTAAAGTCATGCAAGCCTCCTGGATGATTTGTGAAAAGCACTTGGGATTTTGTAATCCTGAGATAATGATGTATTGATTTTGAAAATCATTATGTAATAATGAAACACATTTATTATGTACTCTGTAAGAACGTTTACAGAGACAGTTCCAGGTACTGTTGAAAGGGTTCTCTGATTGTGACCACCATTATCACCAGAATTACCATTAACAACAGGATAATGGTGATATGGTGTGGTGCTGATGGTTATGGTGACGTTAAGGGTGATGATGACGATGATGATGTAATGGTGACATTGACCTCAGATATCAGTGTTTTGTGATTAACTAAATCTGACTATAACTATTAACTATCAATCAACAAATTAAAAAAGATTAATTAAGTATTAATTGTTATTAAAATGTATAATTATTATTAATTATTAAAGAAATATTAAGATATTCAAGTAAATTCTAATACTCAAACTAAATTTGAAAATGTCAAAAATTAATGTAGATTTTCTTTTTGTTTTTACTAATTCTGCAATCCAAGACCATCATTTTAAAAAAGTAACTTATGTCTGAATAACAAACCGAACCCAAACAACAATTAGGCTCGTGCCCGTGTGTGAGTTTCGCCCTGAAACATGTTGTTATGTAAAAGCATCGTGAGCATCTCTGCTTCCACTGAGCCTTTAAGCCAACAGTTGATTCATAACTGAACCAAAGCTGCTGGGGGTTTAAAAACTCCAGCAGAAACAGCGGTGGTGGTGATGAAGAGGAGGAGGAGGTGGAGGGGAGGGCGGAAGGTGACGTGTGTGTGTCTGCTCCAGATGTGCTGCTGCTGCTGCTGTTTATCTTACTGTGTACGAAGGCGGTGTTGGGGCAGCTTTTCCCTCAGCTCTGTGACTACAGTGAGCGGCTGCAGCCGGCGCTGCTCAGCATCAGCAACATCCTCAGCATCCTCCTCAGCCTCAGCATCTCCAGCCTCAGCATCATCACCGTCATCATGTTGCCCTCTCCTCTAAGAAGCCAGCGATCAGGGCTGCCCCACATCTCTGCGACGTCTGTCCCCAGCCTGTCAGGAATTAACCAGCCGTTAGTCGTGGGGACGGAGGGAGATCCTCCACCGTGTCCCCTGGACTGGAGCTGTCCGTGTGTAACCTGTCTGTCTATCCCCTCTCCGGCGTGTTACATAATAAAGCGGCAGCTCACGAAGGACACCAGAACGTCTGCATGTCCATCACTGGTCCTGATGTGAGACTCACCTGCCAGTAGACCAGCTCAGAAGATCCTGCCCAGTCTGCATACTTTAATCTAAGCTCCACATAAAAAAGAGGGACGGGAGAGAGAGAGGGAGAGAGAGAGGGAGAAAGGGAGGGAGAGAGAAGTTATGAATGAAACCACACGCGATAGGACACGCCCACCGCCTGCTCCTGACCACACACGTGACCAGCAGTGACGATATTGGTGATGATGATGATGATGATGATGGAGGTGGATGTCCTGGTAATGACGATGTAAAATGGAGGAGGGTTTTCCGTTTCATTCAAAAGTTGTTTTTTAGTATTATTATTATTATTGGTGTTGTTGTTATTATTATTATTATTATTATTGGTGTTGTTGTTATTGCTGTTGTTTCTGCTGTGGTTGTACTCAACTATATCACTGTATTAGGGTGTTGGTAGTGGACCAAAGATTTGAGTCGTTAATTTCCTACAAATACAGCGTGTCTGACTGAGTATGTTTTTCTGCGAGGCTTTTCCGTTTGATGGCTGTACATTGTGTAATCTTACAGTTTACCACAGGATGGCAGCATTGCTTACAATGATCATGTCACGCTCTGTTAGAGAGATCTCGGTTTGGTTTGAGCATTCAAAGGAGAAAACTGTTTGCAGCACGTTGTGCTGTGGTCTGCAGACGATTTTGTGCTGTGGTCTTCTCCTCTCAACATTCTCAAAAGAACATTACAAGTGTTGTGCAACATGCAGTGGTGCATGCTACTTTTTCATTTAAGCCATTGGTTGTCTAGTTTCTATATTTGTCTGCATCATTCTCCCGTTATATTAGTTACCTAGGAATCAACGAATCAACAATTGTGTCGTTTGTGCATCTCTGATTGTCTCGTATTGTAGACACAAGGCTATGATCACATGGTCTGATGACGAACATTGTTAGATCAATCAACCCAGCCATGATGATGTATTTTGCCCCTTGGATATTTCCTATTTTCCATAGTGATCGTACCTGTTTTTCTCTCAGGCTAAAAAACAAACATATCCATATCCTAATCTAAAATACTACACGCAGCAGCCTTTTCCTCTGCAGCGTGCACTGTTTGCATTAATAGCAAATGCCTCAGCGGTGAAGTGGTGGGAGGCTCCAACTGTGCTTGTATGATAACAAAGAGTGGGTTGATAGATAATGTAACGGAGAAAACGTTAACAGAGGTCAGAGAAAGGCAGCCTGTGTGTCAGCAATATATTTAACAGAGGTGCAGTTATAAATGAAAGGCATGTGGTATTATCGTCCACACAAATCTGATGATATGAAGTCACTAATGGGGTGTCTGTGACATTGTTAAAAGCTATGCAGCAAGTTCTATAAATTGTACATTAAGAATGTGCTGCTGTAGGGTTAATTCTTAAGTTCTTTTTAGGTTTCTGATCAAACTGTCCACAGTTTAGACTAGTGGTTCTCCAACTTTTTCTACTCTGTACCACCTGAGAAAACACTGAGCTCTCTGAGTACCACCATGATGACCAACATTAGAATGTAGCAGCATAGGCCCTCCACCACACAGGAGAGATGTTTAGAAAGATGTTTATGTTTAAATGTTGTATTAATTGTGTATGGTATGTTTCAGATTTACTTAACTGAAAATGTAAATGTGAAAATGTGAATTTTCCCCACGTACCACTAAAGAGTGTTCGCGTACCACTGGTGGTACACGTACCACAGTTTGAGAACCACTAGTCTAGACCTCTTTATACAAAGAGCTAAAAGCAACATTATTATCAATCAGTTTGAACAGAATAAAAATAAAACTGTGTTGTGTGTCATTCTTTAAAGAGAGAGTTGTTGTTTTTTCATTAGCTTGACCAGTGTTTATTAAACTTTCATTCCAGTGAGCCGTTACACTGGTGTTGAAGAATACAGAACACATTCCTTCCCTACATATCTGTTTGCACCTCCGAAAATTCCAGGAATTCAAGGTGCAACATACTGGAGAACAGAAATATGTGGGAAATGATGCCAGGAGAGGCTGTGCAGGGTGGGAGGAATGTGGAGGAGAGTATATGAACAGTGTGTGTGTGTGCTGCTGGACAGTTGACGTCAGAGCTGCGTCTGTGCATGCTCTAAAGAGCAGGACATCCTGTGGAATTGTTCTCAGCGAGGCCTGAAGAATGTAAAGCAGAAACCTCTCTTCTCTGGAAGACGTGCGATTCTAGAAATCTCAGAGATGGTTGAGGACGGAAAGGAGAGATTCAGGGAAAGGAAAGAGGAGAAGGAATCACCATCTAAACCATAGTAGGACATCAAGCTCCCTGGTCACGGACAGATGACACAGCACCAAAAATGGAATGTGGCGTTCTGCTTAAATTCCAGTGATACTATGATTTCAATTCACTTTATTTTGCACCACTATTGCCGGGAATTGTTAGGTACTGAAACCCATCATAAAGAAATATGTGTTATAACATGTGTGCTAATACTCCTTCCCCCAAAACAGAAGAAAGACAACAGAAACAAAATGATAAATGTGGCTTCTCTCAAATGCGGCGTAGCAATTGTTCTCGGACAGAAAAGACACAATGAGACAAAGATGTCTGCAGAGTGTGAGGAGGAGTGAGTGGGTGAGGGGAAGAGAGGGAGGTGAGGGAGGATATGAGAGTATAGTGACGCAGGCTGGATGAAGTGGGGGTGTTGTGTGTGCTGCTATATTTAGCCGCAGTGAGGAAAACACGCATTAACTGCATTTCTCTGCCCTTTCTGGAGTCCTTTTACTCCGGTCTGGTCTCCACCGGTGTACGTCGTGTGACAGGTGCAGCTCCAGGCCCTGCTGTCATGGACACGGGGAGTAGAAGGATGTGAGGAATACAGAGACTTGTCCCTCTGTGGTTGGAAACAGGTCTGGGTGTTTCCATGCCTCCAGCAGAGTGCATGATGGAAAAAGATACAAATGTGACCTTGAAGAAGAAAACAAGGAGGATGCACCAGACGGAAATTGATTATTGATATGTCAAGTGTAAAAAAAAGCACACGTACTATTCATTACAATAACTACAACGTAGTATAATTACTATGTTCCTAAGACTTAGATGTTAAGTAGCGATAACTGGTTTATTGAAAATGTGAGTGGTATTCATTGTACTTTTAATGAAAAGTAATTGTGTCGATCGTGATGTTTTCCAAGTATTTTTCTACAAAATTGATCAAATAGTGGTTAAAAACAGGAAGGTCAAAGTTCGTGTCTGTACTTGGTGAACATGGCCTTACTCATTTGTAGGTTCTCAAGTGTAGAAATGGTAAAATATAAACTCCAAATTGACCATTGATGTGAATATCACTATTATTGCTTTTCCGCCTGTATATTTAACCGCGTGGTGAACTGATGACCTGTCCCGTGTGTACACTGCCTTTGTCAGGGACAGCTGGTTTCCTCTGTGTAACCCATGGCAGGATAAACCTATACAAAAAGAATAAAAAGAAAAGAGAAGAATAAAAGGAAAAAACAGAAATCCTAAGTTTAAACTTTAAAGCTGACTCTGTATCACAAGACTGTGATACATCATTACATACCATAATATCCATCCAAACTGTGTAAATTATACTTATTTACTTTATATAAATTACCCATTTTGCACACCTGCCTGTCTTGGTTCATCCTAATATTTCCTTTATATCATAATATTTTGCGTTTTTCAACTTTAAGTGTTATATCTTGAATTTTTTTTAATTGCTAGAAAATCGCTGGGAAACTGTAGCTACAACATAGAATAGAAATAGATTAGAATAGAACAGTAAGTGCATGCACATGTTCTAAATGTAGTTGTGCCTTTGTTCAGTGAATTCTGATTAGTAATCAGTGCAGACCTCAGATGTATTTTGGCGATACGTCGTTGTTGACATTTCTTTTTCCATTTTAACATGCTGTTGTCCTCTGTGTACGTTGCATCATTTATGAATGGTGAGTGTGACACAAATGGAGGGACTGTGTATGTGTAAAACGCACGTTTTGATTGGATAGTACAGGATGGCTGTCGGTAAGATGGCGGTTGATTGGCTGTTGGTTCGGCGGAGGCGTGGCTAACATCGAGAGGGCTGTGGAGCTTTTTACGCTCGGTGGAGTAGAGCTGCGGCTGTTACTGACCGAGAGAGACGAGCCGGTACATGGACCGTTGTTCGAGACTGTCCTGTAATGGTAGATTTATAGAAATGATACATGGAGACTGAGACGATGACAGCCTGTCGAGGTGTCTGAACACTTTCTAGCATCAACAGTAGCTCGTTCTATTTCACACACGGTTATGGAGGATCTCACCATGCGTTTGTCCATCACCTCCACCACCGGTGGTCCTTTGGAACTCACTGTGCCCCGGGGAGAGACGGTGGAAGGACTGAGGACACGGATTTCCCAAAAACTCAGATTGCCCAGAAACAGAACCATCCTCCTGCACCGAGACAGGTGAGGTGGTCTGTGGTGTGCAGTGTGTGTGGGAGAATCTGTCGTATCTGTGCCGTGCGAGCAAATTACCCATTAAAAAAATATTTTTTAAAGACATTTCAGCAAGGGGTTATGTGTTTATTTTAGTTAGCTAGTACATATGATTATAAAGGGCATGGAAATGCATCGTGTATCTGAGAAACAACAGTGTGTGTGGGACTGTGCTGCACAGAAAGATTGATGTCCGTGAACTGTGTGTGATGTGTAAACCAGGCAGCTGACTGCAGGAAAACTGCTGGAGCTGGGAGTAACAGATGGCAGCAAACTCACCCTGGTCCCTGTCATTGAGGCTGGTTTAGTAGTAAGTACATGTTCCACTATCTTCACTCTAGTATATTTAACGGTGTGGTCGTATGGGGTGCTGTCACCTTCTTGAATACAAATTACTTCAAGTGTGTGGGCAACTTGTGTCGTAAAACTGTTTGAAATTTGTTTTACGACACGATAAAAATAAAGACTACTTTATGGGAGACCAAATGACTGTAGAAATATAACAACAATCACAACAAAGCGATTGTTGAAAATTAAGCTGTGTAATTTTAGGGGGAAAAAATATATTTTTCTAATCAAAATCAGAGTCCTAAAGGCGCTTCATGTTAAATAACGGCCACTAGTGTTCATATCTGGTACTGCCGTCCAAGTAAAAACTTAAAGGTTGAGCCATCCCGAAGCTACATTTGTACCAGTGCGCATGCACAGAAAGGCAAACATAGATGTCTCGCCATACTGAATCTTTAATAACCAATAAACCAGATAAAATATTTTAAAATTCAGCAACAGGTTCAGTCTGAATATTGTATAGTAAATGATATGTTTACATTATTTATAATGATATAAAACATTTTCCTTTTAGTTTTATTTCCTTGTGACCTGAAACACAGTTCTTTATATTATACTAATATTTATATAATTAAGAGTATAATGTCTCTGTCAAAAATAATAATCCCACATAGAGGGAAATACATAAGAAACAAGTTAAAAAGAAAAGGGTAATTAAATAGGGATATCCACCTGGAAAGCCTTCACTTGATAATAGGAAAATATTTGTTCTTTATTCCCACAGTTTTCAACTACTAGATCTAAAAGAACTATGATGGACGTTTTGGAAAGTCTACCTGACAATCAGGTGAGTGTTTTACGTTCATTTTTGTAGGCCACTGCAGAAAGCTGTTAACTGTATCGATGAGGAAAGATCAGAATACTGAATCCTACCAGTGCATTCAAAGCAGCAGGACTGTTTTGATTTTCTGAGATCTAATCGACTACTGGAAAATTCTGGTATTCAGAGTATCCAGAGTGGCTGAATACCCAAAAAGTGGGTCTTTGTATTAAAACAAGGGAGATGACCACACCCAATTCTAAAGGCAGGAAACATGTGGTTACAAAGGTCAAGGTGTGTGTGTGTGTGGGGGCGGGGGGGTTGAGACATTTTGTAGGTGGGTATCATCAATGGATGATGGACAAACCTGCCTACGTGCCCCTTTCAGTCTGTCCTTAATCTTAATCTGTGATTGTTAAAACATAGACGTGTGAACGACTTCTTATCTTATAAATCTTTTCTTTTCTCATGGTCTCTGAGAATTTATAACCTTTCTTTTCTGACTATCCTGCAGATCAGTGACTTCTTGTCTGGACACTCACCTCTGACAATCAATCTGGGAATTGGAGCTCATGTAATGTATGTGCAGCTCCAGCTGTCTGAACAGGATGTGAAGAAGCTACAGGAGAACGGGGATCTGAGAATACAGAGAAACACAGAGCTGCAAAACAGCCTGTCGACTGCTGTTGGCATGAGCCAAGCTGACTCTGGGTCAATGTCCTTTATCACCTCAGAATCTCCCCAAAAATCATCTACTCCAGTCTTAGACTCTGGTGTCTGTCCAACCGCAGTCCATGATAATGTAGAAAGACCCCTTAACCCAAATGCTGTCTCATTCAGTTCCATCCCTCGTGCCAACAACCAGCAATACTCATCTCTACCTCAGTCCAGTCAATTTGGACACACACAACCATCTGCTTATTCACAGTCCAGTGGTCCGCTCCAAGCAACTGCACCAATTTCCTCTTCTGCTCCTGCTGGATTCAGTCCTGGACCACCAAGCCCAGTGGAAGCCACAACCTTTGAAAAGGTTATCGTCATATCATATAAAACTATTTATATCTCTCACCTTTTAGTCCCCAACATGACAAAATATACAAAACATGTTTTGTTTTTTCTTCCAGAGTAATGTTCAGACATCACCCTCTACTGACCAGAGGAGGCAGACAGGAGCTGTTATAGAAAGCTTCGTAAACCACTCTCCGGGAGTCTTCTCTGGAACTTTCTCAGGTAAGTCATCCTAGACGACAACACACTGTACGCAAACAAATGTTCCTGGTTGTGTTTTTAACATCATAGTTTGGGAATTAAATGGAAATTTAAAAAAAATATTTTGGAAAATTCCCTTGTCCTAGCTTTTCTTATTGACTTGCCTTTCTCTTCTTATCCCACCAGGCACTCTCGCTCCTCTCAGTCAGACTGGAGTGAGCCACCCTCGACATGGCATCAACATCATTCTCCAGATACTTAGTGACCTCCTCAGAGCTGCTTGTCACCACCAGGTGGCCCTATCACACGCCCTTCCTGAACATCACTGTCCTGCTGTGAACTCCTCACTCAACCCAGTGCTCACAGAGGGAGGATCTGGCAAAACAAGAAGTAAACCAGTTGTGACCCAGAGGGCAGAGCACACCGGTAAACGTTCAGGTCAGCCTGACCACATTTTACATGTAAAACAAATTGGAATCAGATGCTCACTGTGAAGAGTAGTGCGTTACTACTTCCCATGTTCCTGTTTTTTAATTTTGTGCATAACAATTCTTCAGACACACCACTGTGGAAAAGTCTTGATGCAAAAAAGTTTGGGAAACACTGGTCTAAATGAAGATTTGAAGACGGTTAATATTTTTTAGTGTGTGAAACGCCTAGTCAGGATTAATGAAGGAATACCAGCGTGACATCTCAGTGTACACAGTTTGGAAAAAAAGATAGAGAAGCTGTAGATTGAACAGTTACTGAATGGTGGACAATGAATGTTAGATGTCGGGCTGCAATGCAGGATCTGATGTGGATTTATTAAAAGACATGAACATTGTGAGTGTAATGGTTACAAAGGCCAAGGATATGGTAAAAGAATGGACTTCTCCTGTAGTTAGCCTTGAGGTAAAGGCCTAAACTCAATCATATTTTATCAATGTTTTCTTTGTCTCTTACAGGTGAGGAGATCAACTCTCACCGTTCACTCACTGAAGAGGAACAAACCTTGCACTGTAAGCTAGAGCGCCTTCAGTCACTGATGCATGAGCGGCGCTTTCGTAAAAGGACACAAAGGAGCACACATCTTCCACAAATGTCTCATCCCTACCAACGTCAACAACATCTCTAGACCCCGGACAATAAAGATCCACTCACTGTGACAGCAGTAGCAGCCTATTGAAAAGCAAATCCCTCCTTGGTTGAAGGAAGGAAGGAATTATTGTGGAAATTAGACTTCATTTGAAATGACTGTGAAGTTCATTGTGTGTCTGTGATGTCTTCTGAGAGGAAGACTAAATAATTGTCTTTGAGTTTTTGATGAATGTTAGTATTAAAAAAGCCTATTGGCACTGTGTCCTGTTGTAATAACGACACTGATTATGTTGTATAATCAGTGTGTTTTAGTGTAAGACTTCTGTGATGTAGCATATAATAATATTGTGAAGATTGTCCCTATTATGTATGTGTTTTTGAAATATTGTGAAGATTGTCCCTATTATGTGTGTTTTTGAAAAAAAAAACACAAAAGAATCTCTGTCTTGTGTTTTATGTACCAATGCCTTAATCATTTCTGTCCCGAATGTTATGTTTTCACATGTGTAGAAATGTTGCTTTAAAAATCAGCAGTTGAATGCAACAACAACAGATGAAAAATATGCAATGTAGGAAGAACGTATATTAGAGAAATGGATGACTAAAGCAGTCTGTTAAAGGTGAGGATTTTTATCTCTAATGTTGTAACCAAAATATGATGTGTGACCATAATAATAGAGGTGTAGCAGGTGTTTTTCTTAAACTCAAGGCAACATTTTTTAATTATTATTCTTTTCTGTAAACTTGGGCAGACCTTCTTGACCGGTCTACAAACCCAAATGCATCGGCATGCTGTTATGCATTTATTTAATGTTAACTCAATAAAGCTGTCAATAAATCTCATGACAATTTTGACGGAGGGGTTATGCTTACAGAAAACCCTGACTCCTCTTGGCATGGTCTTTTTGTCTTAATACTATATGTGTAGAATTCCACACACTCTAAAGTTTATCAGATGCAATCTTGAATATCACAATTATGCAACTTGCCACCCCACTCCCCCTGTGGGGGACATAGTTAATATATTTTTTAATAGATCATTCAGCTGTTAATGTCACACCTGACATGAACACAAAATTACAACAAGTTGTGTGATACCTTCTTAGCATATTGTAACCTATTCCAAATGTGCTAAGGACAAACGTTTTTATTGCTGATTGAACACAGGGGGTTATTGTGACGCTATTTGGTCGATGAAAACAAAAACGGTGCGTTTGTTTCTGCAAATTCAAAAGACAAATCCAAACTAAAAGCTTTGCTGATATCGTGACGCCTTAGACGTCGTTGGCCCAGTCCTTTGGTCTTTATTGTCCAATAACTTAAAAGAAAAGCATCAGAGCGGAAGTGAGCGACACACCAACCACGACCGCTATTGTGTCGTTTAGAGTGACTTCCCCTCCGAATCAATAGGTGGCAGTGCTGAGTAAATTTTCAATTCCGCATACAAGGCACAAAATCGAAACGCACTCTCCACACGCTCTCATTCTTCCGTCCGCAGCCGGCTCGTGAGTAAGGTAAGTGCAGCTTTCCAATCCTGCGTTCTAGGCTAATATAAATGTTCCTCGTGAATATTTCTCTGCTTTAACAAAATGTGAATGAAATGTTATACATTTACTTCAAACAACTGGTATACACAAACATTTGCTGAGGTTTTTTAGATGTTTTTTCTTTTTTTTTTTTTTACGATAAACGAGTCACGCAATCATGCTGAAATCTTGTTTTTAAAAAAACAAAACATGGTGTTTAACGCGCAAATGAGTTGCTCGAAAGGAAGATACGTCGAACTCTATCTTTTCTCTCGCACGTTGTAACAAAAGTAGACCGCACCGTGCTACAAAATGGCGCCGAAAAGATAAAGACGAATGGCTAAGTCGCTGTTAGCTTAGCTGCTAACCAGGTGGTAGCACGCTAGCAGGCCGCAGTACCGTCTCTTAAAACCTCTGCTTAAATTAAGCCATTCAATGTTATATATTACGTTGTTGTTTCGTTTGTTTACAATTAACAACAATTTAACCTATTATCGATCCTCTGTTAAGGACTAAGTGACCTACTTTCCCTCTCTTTATACTTGCTGGTCATCGTTAAATTATTGATTTTGATCTTGTGTATATGCACTGTTTTTTGCAGGAGGTACTTGTGTTAATTTTAAACAACATCAAATATGTCGGACGAGGGTAAATTGTTCGTTGGCGGCCTGAGCTTCTCTACTGACGAGGAGTCTCTGAACGAGGCCTTTAGCAAATACGGAACCATTGAGAAGGGTAAGGCCTCCATCTTGATTCGGTATTCCGCCCCATTTAATGTCCAATCAATTTTATTTCACGACTTTAAAGTGTTGTTTTTTTTTTCTCTCCAGTGGATGTGATCAGGGATAAAATTACAGGAAGGTCTCGTGGCTTTGGCTTTGTGAAGTACAACAATGTGGATGATGCTAAGGATGCCCTGGAAGCTATGAATGGCAAGGTAAACGAGTGCAGCTCGCCAGTTTGTGCACATTTGTTAAATTAATGTGAAGTCCACTTGTGGTTGATCATTGTTACTATTGCTTTCCCCCCCCAGTCTCTGGATGGAAGGCAAATCCGTGTAGATGAAGCTGGCAAAGGTGGTGGACAATCCAGAAGTTATACATCTGGTGGCCCCCGCAACAACAGATTTGGAGGAGGATCATCTCGTGGGAGAGGTGGGTGTGGTTACTCCATGAGATAGTCAATAAAAACGAATCTGTCCTTGATGCACCTTAATTAATTTAAATTGTTGTTAAAAACAGACTTCGGAGGTGGTGGATACTATGGAGGAGACAGGAGTGGCGGTGACAGGAATTATAGCGACAGAAGCTTTGGAGGTGGAGAAAGGAGCTTTGGAAGTGGTGGTGGAGGTGGCGGCGGCGGCAGTGGTGGCGGCTACAGAAGTGGAGGATACTCTGGAAGTTACAGAGATAACAGGTAAATTATGTCCTTTCTGAGGAGCATTATGTCAGTGTTAAGTGTTCCACACATGTTGAGTCTTTCTCCTTGTTTGACAGGGGCCAGGGTGGATATGGTGACCGCTCCGGATCTTACCGCGACTCGTATGACAGCTATGGTAAGTATTTTTGATTTGCTTTTGCATATGTTTGGGGCTGTGGTTGTCAGACTTGAAATATGCTAAAGTTGCAGTACAATGTTTTGCACAAGAAAGGTTAATCATTTCAGAACATGAAGACTTTGTCATAATCGCCCCCTCAGTTTTAAAGCTGATTGCTCTCCGGTTGCTGTTGGCAAACGTGTCCGTCCATGTCCTCTGAAAGTGACTTGCAAACTACCTGGGAAACTCATAAGTAGAACGCAGGAGTTGCTATTCTCTCATAACTGAGCCGGTGGAGCTTTCCTAAGCCAAAAAGAGGGAGGGTTTATGGACTTTCTTATGGATTGATATTTTGAGACTCTAGTGTTCGAACTTTCAGTGTCTTAACCTGTGTGCCCGCTTCTTATCCTCAGCTTCACACGAGTAAAGAGCTCCCTGATTCAAGATCATCACTTGGCTGGCTGTATTTCAAAGATGCGCTCATCAAGGAAAAAATGTCTGTTATTGCTGACCTTAATTTGTACTTCTGTTATAGTAGCTTGGACATCTTTAACTATGTAGCAGTCAGTTAAGTCATTCCATTAACATGTGAACGATTAAATTGGAGCTCAAGCTTTGTTTGTTTTTTTTTTTTTTTTGCTTAATTGGTCACCTATATTCCTTCATTAGACGAAACTAAAAGGCATCTGTGATATAAGTACTAATACTGTAACTCTCCCAGTTTCAGTTCAAACAACTCTAGTCTTTGTGGCTTTTCTTGGAGCAGTTGCATAAGTTACTGTCTGTCCTGCGACTTTCCCCTATTTTAACCTAAATTTTGTTCTCAGTAATCTTTTTTTTATATTAATAGTGAGGTTTTTTTTTTGTTTGTTTGTTTGGGTCATTTCCCTTGCTTAGTCACCGTGACTCAACTACCTCATATCAGGCTTTATACTGAATGAGAAAGATTCCCGTACCAGTAAACAGATCGAGGGGATTTAATGCCAAATCATTTTTTTTTTTACTATCTAAAACTTAGTTTAGCCGAGGCTCCTGTATGTTCTATTTCCAAAAAAATGAATTCCTTTCAGACTGGTGAACTACACATCCGAGGTGGTCGACTGTTCATGAAGTTGCAAATTGCAGCATGCTACAGTCTGTCCAAGGTATCTTGTGCTCAATATCTGCATTTTATACGTGCTGTAAATTGGACTAAACCTGTTTAAAGTGATCGAAAAATGTACCCTTTTTCCCAAAGTTTCTCATTTGGGAACAGTTTTGTACTTTGTGTTCTTGTATCATCAACCTTTTTCTTTGTCAACTTTGGCTTCATGGAGCCGATTAAACGAACTGTGGAAAATATTCTCGATTCTCTTGCCTTTGAAAAGAAAAATAGCCGCATGGGGAGTTTCGCTAAGAGCTTACGGCGCATGAACTTACTCAAGATCTGTGCGAAATATGGACCCGACAGCAGTGAATATGAATCTCTGGGATCTGTAAAGAATTTGAACTTTCGCTTGTAAATTATCAAAATAAGTCACAACTAGATTCTGCTAAAACAATTTTCTCAAATAGAATTTTTTTCTTCCAGAGTAATGTTCAGTCATCACCCTCTACTGACCAGAGGAGGCAGCCAGATGCTGTCATAGAAAGTTTTGTAAACCACTGTCCAGGAGTCTCCTCTGGGACTTTGTTGGGTAAGTTGTCCTAGATGACAACACACTGGCATGACAAATATTGACAACTGTATATTAGTTGTTTTCAACATTATAGTCATGGAATTAAATAGAAAATTAAAGATTCTTCAGACTTCTGTTGTCCTTTCTTTGTTTTCCATGTTCACTAGCTCCACTCTTCTTACCCACCAGGCACTCTAGCTTCTCAAGTTGAGCCACCCTCAACTTTGATGTCATTGTCCAGGTTCTTGGCGACCTCCCCAGAGCTGCTTGTCACCACCAGGTGGCCCTGCCTTCCTAAACACTACTGGCCTGCTGTAAATTGGTTGTGATCCAGAGGGCAGAGCACACCAGTAAACATCCAGGTCAGTCTGACCACATTTTACATGTCATGCAAAACAATTTGGAATGTGCAGATGCTCACTGTGCATTTTTCAACTATAGACCTATAGTTCTCAATGTCTGTATTTACTAAAATCTACAAAAAGAAGCTTGCTGTGCAATATTCTTGTAATTACCGACTGAGTAAATAAAGCAAGGATGCTCAAGATTAAGCATCTGGGGCCTCGTTTATCAACCATATAAAGCATATAAAAGGTTCTCAGATCTGTCATATGATTTCCGTTTAGGCAGTGTGTAACAAAATCAAACATGTATATATTGTGTGAAGCACACTAGTAAGTAATGTGTGATGAAAAACTCTGCCTGTTGTTGTAGAAGTTGAAACAAACCTCATACAGTTTGGAACAATATATGCAGGTGTTGCCCAAAGTTGTGCTCAATTTATGAATTCCTCCGTTGTGATTTTACGATTATTATGGCCATGAACTGCACTCAGTTCGTGGCTCCGATTATGTTTGGGAATCTGGAAATCCTTGTTAAATTTCTGCTTGTTAGTGATGTGTATAGTCGATCTAGATGTAAGTTGGCGTCACAGAAATGTCCATTACTGCTGGTATGATTCTGCCTCAGTGGCTGCAATGTGCTGCATGTTTCTCCAATCTCTCAATGAAATGTTCCGTTGGCTGGACGTGCACTGGGATGGTGTGTTTTGTCTCGCCCAAAACAGGTTATAAATCTATATATATGTGTTTGGAGAAGTGGTGGCTGCTTAAAAAGCCCACTCTGTTCTCTCACTGAGCTGATCAGCATGTTCTTTAAAATGTACTCCCTGTGCAGCATACACTTCTTTAAATCTCCCAATAACACAGGATAGATGGATAGGTATAGTTAATTGATCACAGGCTGGGGAATTACATTGTAGCAGCAGCAGCATAACATACAGGGGAAATAAAGAAATTAAGATAAAGCAATTCTTAGTTTACTTTTCTTACTTTTTACTTTTTAAAAATGATCGATTTTAATAATAAGAGGCAACGGAAAACGTGTTACATGAGATTGCGGAACACAGTCCTCATTAATGAGTTCTGTTTGTAGTTTCAGTGTTCTACCACTTAATTTTGTCGGTACACATGCTCAGAGCTGTGCTTAAATTTACACACATTTCTATGCTCAAGTACAAGTTGGTAAATTCCATATTTTGCGAGGGAATGTTTGTACACATATTATGTACACTTAAAATATAAGTCCCCTGGGATATAGATTTAACTGGTTAGGACAGTTGCTAAGGAGGAATGGTGGACAATGAATGTTAGATGTCGGGCTGCAATGCAGGATCTGAATGTGGATTTATTAAAAGACAAAGATTTTGAGGGTAATGGTTACAAAGGCCAAGGATATGGTAAAAGAATGGACTTCTCCTGTAGTTAGCCTTGAGGTAAAGGCCTAAACTCAATCATATTTTATCAATGTTTTCTTTGTCTCTTACAGGTGAGGAGATCAACTCTCACCGTTCACTCACTGAAGAGGAACAAACCTTGCACTGTAAGCTAGAGCGCCTTCAGTCACTGATGCATGAGCGGCGCTTTCGTAAAAGGACACAAAGGAGCACACATCTTCCACAAATGTCTCATCCCTACCAACGTCAACAACATCTCTAGACCCCGGACAATAAAGATCCACTCACTGTGACAGCAGTAGCAGCCTATTGAAAAGCAAATCCCTCCTTGGTTGAAGGAAGGAAGGAATTATTGTGGAAATTAGACTTCATTTGAAATGACTGTGAAGTTCATTTTGTCCTATTGTAATAACGACACTGATTATGTTGATTACTTGGTGTCTATTAGTATAAGACTTCTGTTATGTAGCATATAATAATCTTGTAAAAAGTGTCCTCATGGTGTTTTTAGAAAACCCCCCACAGAATCTGGCTTGCGTTTTATGTAGCAATGCTCTAATTATTTCTGTCCTCAGTCTTTTCAAATGTGTAGACAATGATGCTTTAAAAGTCAGTGATTGATTGAAGAACAAAAGAAAAATATGCATTGTATGAAGAAAGTAAATTTGAGAAATGGATGACTCAAAAATCTTTATTTTAAAATCTAACCAAAAATATGTGACCACAATAACAGGCGTAGCAGTTGTTTTTAAAGATTCAAACTAAGCATTTTTTTTCTTTAAACTTAGGCAGACCTGCTTGACCTTTCTGCAAAACCCAGTGCATAGGCGTGCTGGTACATGTTTATTTAATGTTTAACTCAATAAATATTTATTTATAGAGAGATTGAGTTGTTTTCTTCACAATACAAAGCAAAGAGAAATTATTTGTATTTTTTGGTTCTTAATGGGTTACATCCACCTGCTGCTTTCCTCAAGAATTTTGGATTTGAAAACAATAACTGCTCCTTTTGTTCTGGGATGATTTGCATCGCTAGAAAACTAAAAACTCTAATCATTGCTGCATGTTTTATTATGTTGTTTCTACTGATTTTTTTTTGTACTTAAGCACGTTCTAAATTTCTTGCATACGACATAATTAAGCATACTACTTCAGACCAACTAATCAGACGAGATTAGCGTGAGCCACTCCCACAGCCTATGATTGGCGAGTTTGACAGCTAAAACTATAATTAATGATGCATTACAACACACCGACCATGAAATACTTAAAGAAATGATGGGGTTATTTACATAAAATTTTAACGATTAATTTGCATTAAAATCTACCAACTCCTGCTTTTAAATGTGAAATTATTTTGTATGGTTTTATGATTAAGCTTTCTTTGCACTACGTCATTTAATTCCATAGTAATGTTAGGCTTATTTTTTATACATGAAGAGAGATTTTCTTATACGTAAACCAATACGTATGTTTTTTCATGAAGCACTCCGTTTATTTTTCTCCTTAGTGAAACATATGAAGAAACGGACTGCTGTGAAACTCCACAACATGGTAGAAAGTATAGAACTCAGATATACCGTAGCTCTCTGGACATTCACCTGAAAACAGAACGGTTATTAATATTTTAATTATTTTATATATGTTTCTTTCATTTATATTCCTGGTTTATATTTACTACCTGTTCCCTGACTGTTGCCCTTTTATAACACTTTGACGTAATTGTACAAAACAAATTCAGGTTTGTTTTTTTAAGATGGCCGTTACGAGTGACTTCCTCTCCGTATCAGTAGGTGGCAGTGTTGAGTAACTCGCACAATTCACAAAGTGAAGCGCCCAGTCATACAGAAACTTAACAGTAGTGATGTTCGATACCACCAATTTCCTTTCCGATCCGATACCGAGTAAAATTCGGGCTGGTATCGCAGATACCGTTATCGATATTTTATCATTTGTCTTTTAAATAAAAAATGTGTATTTCAAATCATAGCTTCTTTAAGAATCCAAGGCAGAGGTTTTTATTTATTTATTTTAAACTCTGGAGTGTACTGAGGTAGCTGCCTCATTTACTATACAGTCAACACAACAATAGAAAAGCCTGAGAACACAATCATATAAAATGTGTCAAAACAATGTTTCAAACTCTGAAAACATGTTATTTGTAAAACAAAAATTAAAAAAATAATCTGAGGAGCCATTTGGGACCTGAAAGAGTCGGATTTTTTCAGTGAACCGAGCCAAAAGAACCGGTTCTCTAAAAAAGAGCCGAAATTCCCATCAATAGTGACTGAGTGAGAGCACGGAGTAGAGCCCCTGTGCTTACGCATGACGCACACACCCAGGCGGAAGAAGAAGTAGTCCCACCAACCGAGCGTCACTTAGACAACATCTCAATAATTTGGATATTTTTCACCATGTTTCTGTTTAGGATACACTCATCTCAGAATGCGTAAGTATCAAAAGTATCGATATTTTGATTACAGAATCGATTTCAGAGCATGAAGATCCAGAATCGGAAGTATTGATATTTCAGGATCGATCCGCACATCACTAGTCCGCAGTTAGCCGGTGAGTCACCATCTCTTCCACGATCTAACGGTAATTATCCCACGCTGATGTTTCTCTGCTTAAACAAAATTTAAATGAAATGTTACATCCAACGTATTACTTTAAACAACTGCTTTATGCAAGCTGTTGTGATTTTGTTTTATTAAATGTTTTTAACATGTATTGTGAATGAATCACAAAATCGTGCTAAATCTAAAATGTTTGTTTTTCAAAAATATGCTAAGGGGGAATCTGTAATAGGCAATGTGGTTCCATTGTCTTAAATGAGTAGCGTAAATGAATAGCTCAAATGGAAATGTGTCCAAGTCTTTCTTTCCTCTCGCACGTACAAACAAAAGTAGGCTGCGCCGTGCTATAAAATGGCGGCGAAAAGAAAAAGACGAATAGCTCGGTCGCTGTTGGCTTAGCTGCTAACCAGGCGGCGGCACGATTGGGGAAAAAAAACAATAAATCCATTAAGTTTAATTTTATTTAGTTGTCGTCGTTTCATTTGTTCGTCGTTTCATCAACAATGCATACAAGTATATAGGAAATTCCGTTATTAACGGTTGTTTTAAGGACACAGTGACCTATTTCCCCCTCCCCTATTTGTTGGTCAGTGGCAAATTATGGATTTTGATGTATGTATCGTGTTTATCCGCCTGCAGGAGGTACTTGTGTTCATTTTAAACATCAAATATGTCGGACGAGGGTAAGCTGTTCGTTGGGGGGCTGAGCTTCGCAACTGATGAGGAGTCTCTAAACGAGGCCTTTAGCAAATACGGATCCATTGAGAAAGGTGAAGCCTCCATTTTGGTTAGGGTACTCCGCCCCCACTTAAGGTCCATTCAATTTTTTAATTTCAATGTGTTTTTTTCCCTTCTCCAGTGGATGTGATAAGAGATAAATTTACAGGAAGGTCTCGTGGCTTTGGTTTTGTGAAGTACAATAATGTTGATGATGCCAAGGATGCCCTGGAAGCTATGAATGGCAAGGTAACCGTGCAGCTTAGCAGTTTGTAATTGTTATTGTGAAGTCCACTTGTGGTTGATCATTGTATTACTAATGTTTTTTTCAGTCTCTGGATGGAAGGCAAATCCGTGTAGATGAAGCTGGCAAAGGTGGTGGACAATCCAGAAGTTATACATCTGGTGGCCCCCGCAACAACAGATTTGGAGGAGGATCATCTCGTGGGAGAGGTGGGCGTGGTTACTCCAGAGGTGGGATTAGTCAACAAAATCAGAGATCTGTCCTTGAGGTATATGGTATAATTGTGTCTGTTGTAAAAACCATAGACTTCGGAGGTGGTGGATACTATGGAGGAGACAGGAGTGGCGGTGACAGGAATTATAGCGACAGAAGCTTTGGAGGTGGAGAAAGGAGCTTTGGAAGTGGTGGTGGAGGAGGCGGCAGTGGTGGATACAGGAGTGGAGGATACTCGGGAGGCTACAGAGAAAACAGGTAAATGTCCTTTCTGAGGAGCATTATGTCAGTGTTAAGTGTTCCACACATGTTGAGTCTTTCTCCTTGTTTGACAGGGGCCAGGGTGGATATGGTGACCGCTCCGGATCTTACCGCGACTCGTATGACAGCTATGGTAAGTGTTTTTGATTTGCTTTTCTTGTATGCATATGTTTGGGGCTGTGGTTGTCAGACTTGAAATATGCTAAAGTTGCAGTACAATGTTTTGCACAAGAAAGGTTAATCATTTCAGAACATGAAGACTTTGTCATAATCGCCCCCTCAGTTTTAAAGCTGATTGCTCTCCGGTTGCTGTTGGCAAACGTGTCCGTCCATGTCCTCTGAAAGTGACTTGCAAACTACCTGGGAAACTCATAAGTAGAACGCAGGAGTTGCTATTCTCTCATAACTGAGCCGGTGGAGCTTTCCTAAGCCAAAAAGAGGGAGGGTTTATGGACTTTCTTATGGATTGATATTTTGAGACTCTAGTGTTCGAACTTTCAGTGTCTTAACCTGTGTGCCCGCTTCTTATCCTCAGCTTCACACGAGTAAAGAGCTCCCTGATTCAAGATCATCACTTGGCTGGCTGTATTTCAAAGATGCGCTCATCAAGGAAAAAAATGTCTGTTATTGCTGACCTTAATTTGTACTTCTGTCATAGTAGCTTGGACATCTTTAACTATGTAGCAGTCAGTTAAGTCATTCCCGTAACATGTAAACAATTAAATTGGAGCTCAAGCTTTTTGCTTAATTGGTCGCCTATATTCCTTCATTAGACAAAACTAAAAGGTATCTTTGTAATATAAGTACTAATACTGTAACTCTCCCAGTTTCAGTTCAAACAACTCTGGCTCTGTGTGGCTTTTCTTGAAGTCACATAGGTTACTGGCAAGTCTGTCCTGCAACTTTCCCCTATTTTAACCTAAATTTTGTTGTCGGTTGTCTTTTATATATTTATAGTGAGGGGGTTTTTTGTCTCGTCATTTCCCTTGCTTAGTCACCGTGACTGAACTACCTCATATCAGGCTTTATACTGAATGAGAAAGATTCCCGTACCAGTAAACAGATCTAGGGGATTTAACACTAAATCATTTTTTTTATCTAAAACTTAGTTTAGCCGAGGCTCCTGTATGTTCAATTTCCAAAAAAATGAATTCCTTTCAGACTGGTGAACTACACATCCGAGGTGGCCGGCTGTTCATGAAGTTGCAAATTGCAGCATGCTACAGTCTGTCTAAGGTATCTTTTGTGCTCAACATCTGCATTTTATATGTGCTGTAAATTGGACTAAACCTGTTTAAAGTGATCGGAACATGTACCTTTTTTTCCCAAAAGTAGTTTCAATTTGGGAACAGTTTTGTACTTTATGTTCTTTGTCAGCCTTGTCATCAACCTTTTTCTTTGTCAAGTTTGGCTTCATGGAGCCGATTAAATGAACTGTGGAAAATATTCTCGATTCTCTTGCCTTTGAAAAAGAAAAATTGCCGCATGGGAAGTTTCGCTAAGAGCTTAGGGCTCATGAACTTACTCATGACCTGTGTCTGAAACTTGGCCCCGACAGCAGTGAAATTGAATGTCTGTGGGAACTGTAAAGAATTTGCACTGTCGCTTGTAAATTGTCAAAATAAGTCACAACTGGATTCTACTGAAACAATTTTATCAAGTAGAATGATGGATTTGGGCCAATTGAACTTTTTTTCATGATTGTTTTTTTTAACCATTGGCTTTCATACTGTTGGAGACCAAACCTTTACGAAGGTTTGAGTTATTGGCCTTGTAAAATGCTCAAGGGAATGCTGGGGAGAAACATTTAGCTGGTGTCTGGTCATGTTGATGCTTCATTACATTCAAGAGGTCAGCTACATCAAAAACCTACAAGTCCTTGGAGAGTGAAGTGTTGCGCCTACCAACAAGTGCTCCTCAGAGATGAAAGCCGCTCTCTTGCCTAGGTCATATGTGGAGAAAGTAGGCCAATGCACGTGAGGTAAAAATCTCCTTTTGCTTTGCTCACATCCTTCAAAGTCAGTTCTCATTCTTTCCATGAATAACTCCAACCTAGTCTCTCCTAGTCCTGTGCTTCAAATGTTGCCCACAAACATGCCCCTGGCTTTTCTGATCCTTAATACGTTTCATTGGGGGGATGAAAAAAGTTGCTGCAAGGCTCTTGTGGAATGTGTTGCTCAACTACGTCCACTGAAACCATGCATTGGCCGCCTAAAATTTTAGGAAGTCCTGTTCTCAGTCACTCCTGGTCCCTGCATTAATCCTCAAATTTGCTCCAGTTAAAGTCCTAAAGTGTCATCTAATGTGTAAAATGTCATTTCTTTCTTGATAGAATATGGTGAGATAATAGTACTGCATGCTTGTTTTGTTTCATTGATCAAAGACTATTTGCAAAGCCTAATTATGATTTCTCTCTCCATAGGTTTGAGCAAACAGGAGACAACTTAAAGTCACAGGCTATCCCTAGATTAGCATTCCTTCCATTCAGGTGGCAGTTTCCATGTAGAAGATGGGCAGCATGTAAGTTTTGGTTGATTTAAACTTGTCAGGTGTCACCTAAAAATATAATTCTAAAGACTCTAATCTTTGTTTCAGGTCCAAAATGCAGGACCAGATCTGGCCTAACAGGAGGATCTTGCCTACAGAGTTTTGGTCTTGGTGTTCGTTGGAACAAATTGAGCAGTACAAGAACGAGAAACCAGAACAACTTGATGTTGTAAAAAGAAAAGACAGATAACTGTGTGCGTGAGTTAACTATTTTAACTCTGGTGGTTTGAAAATAAAGTCTGAAACATAAGTTGATGCTTAATGTTTTTGTTACATGCAATTTGCATCAGATTATGATACAAATTGGTGGTTGACATATAACCAGGAAAAACCTTCTTTTAAACTTCCCTGAAAATGATTTGTGTTGTCTCAGTTTTTCAAGGCTTTACATTAATATTGGTAAACCTTGTAATAACTCAGGACTATTGCTGATATCACTTTCTTTGTGTTCAATTGGATCGTTCATGATTTATTATTTACCCCTTAATTTCCCTCAGTTCTTTCCTAAGATTGTCATTCAGCAATCAGCTGTACATTCTCAGGTGGCAGCCTTGACAGAAGATTCTGGAGGTGTGGAGCTCTTTGTTGGTGCTGCAGTAACATCATGTAGTGAATTTAGTGAAACTTCAAGAGATGGATGGGGTCAGTTTATTTTGTTGTCTTTTGTTCATACATGTATCTCTAATTCTTCCTAGATACTGCTCAGGAAGCAAGTAAACACCAAAGAACTTGATTTTAGTTTTACTTTGCTGATTTTCTGGAATTGTTTAGAAGACAAAAGAGGTGGAGTTTAGATGCTGGTGGATTTTCTCATTAATAAAACAGCAGTAGGGAGTTACAGGTATTGGTATAGTATGGCCGGGAGGGTTGTTAAGCAAGGAGGAGATTGTGTTTGAGTTACCTTCGTTGGAGCAGATAAGACCAGAGTAATAATTCTTTGGCTTTCATTGAGCAGGATTCTGGAGCAAACCAGGGAGCATTGTATGAGAGGTGACAGACCACGTTTTTACTGGAGAAAGGCACTGACTGTTGATTATTGTATTATTTATTGTTGTAGTGAGAAGCTAGAGCATCAGGGTTGGAAAAGTGGGCTGGGGCTGAGGCCCGGTGTCTTGGTGATGGAGAGAGGGAATGTCGCACTGAAGGAGTTCATCAGCTGTGCAATTAGATGATGTTGTCTGAACAGCAGATAAAGTGTCAAGTCTACACTATATTCTTTAATATGGGTAGAAAAATCAGCATATGATTGTACCCAAAGCTCTGGAAGCATAATGAACAGTTTTCTGGTCAGAGGGAGATTACTATGTCAGAATGTATGTTCAGCTATTGCACATTTGGGAGTGGATAAATGAGTGAGAACAGCAGTAAAGTCATTCAAAAAGGAATAGTGACACACACTCCGTGTAGCACTGCAGCAGGTATTTATCAACGTCTGGTTGGACCACGGAAATTTCGACTGATGGGTGCCATCTCATTACAGGCTTCAAATCTGGCCCCACCTCCAGTCATTCAGGCTTCAGAATTTGTAGGAAATAAAACCATTTAGTGTAAATTTACAAAATGTCACACGACACAGATCAAAACAAATGGCACATGAAACACACTAAATGCAAAATGACAGTGATGCAATTAAGGGACGATACCAGTTGAAGTAGTTAACGGACCCTTTAGAGTCATGCGTTGCTAAAATGTGATGCCATCAATTTCAGCAGGCCACATAGTACGATTTCTCATTCTTTTGTTATACTCTCAATAGACTATTGATTGTCTGGTGTGTGCATGTGAGTTTTTGCATCCTTTTTTGTCCGTGTTGACCACCTGTCTATCAGGACCCGAGTCTGTAGTCATAAAGCCCCAGCGTGGGTGGACCCCTTAGCCCTGTTGAATCTGATTCTGGCTGGGTCTTTGTCTGCTTATCAAACACTCACTGGTTTTTGAATTTCGACTTGCAAAATCTGTTTTGATAAAAAAAAAAAGTGTTGGCGCTGACCTATTTTGGTTTTTTGGACAACATTTTCAACAGTACCATCCAAAAAAGTGTTTCTGTAGACCTTGACCAGACTGATTCAAGATAGATTATTACAGCAGCAGAAGAACAACAGAAGGTGCGTTGTCTTTCAGGTAAGAGCAGGAACGGAAGCTGCTGTTAGCACAGGCCAACCAAATTAGTCATTGGCTAGTATAAGTCCTGAAATTCAACAATTTGTTAATTGCTAATCTTCTAACTATCTTTTTTGAATCAAACAATTAAAGCAAGATTATATTAATTTAGATGAGTTGATAGATAAGCCTCAAAGCTGGTGATAAAGTCTGGTTTTTAATTTTATTAAGTAGCAGTGGTAGAACTATCAGCAATGTATTATCCTCTGGTTTATCACCACATAGTTCCGCATCTTCCTGGTTATTGTCCAGAAATAGTTACATCAAGGGCAACTGGACTTAGAAGAGAGGTTAAATTACTTCAAGAAACCTACTGCGTCCAGTTGCCTCAATGTCACTATTTTTGGATATATTAAATGCTAATTTTCTCATCCAAACAAAAGAATACAGATCATCTCAGGGTAAATAGTTTTAATAATGAACATTATTCACAAGTTTAATTAAATCAGCAACCAGGACCACATCAAACAAGGTGAGAAAGAAGTTGAAGCTCAGAATCTTTCATTTTCACGGTACTTAGAGTGGGCCCAAGAACCCGAACTTATTCTTATTGGAGTCTTCGGATGGCCGGAGGTAATAGAGCTCCCAACCCGAAGGGGGAACCCAGCGATCGGTGTTGAAAAGTTTCTCCCCCACCTGCACAGAGGGAAAAACAAAAACATAAGTAAAGAACATTTCTGTGATTAAATCTACTATTCAAATAACTTTTAGCTAGCAAGAAAGTTGTTTAAAAACACCTAAAAGTATGCACATGCCCAAAACACTTAAATGAAATGTATATGAGCCCTAGAAAGTAACTGTTTTAGTTCTTCAGCAGAAACAAAACAGACAACAAAACATCACAGGGTTAATGTTAAACAACTATCTTTACCGTCCAGCCTGGAACATCTTTCATGATGATTGCCTCCTCTTCTAGATTTTCCCTCATAATTCTCAAATTCCTGAACAGAGTAGAAATCAATTATTATTCATGTGAACACATCACCTATTCACGCCTAAACATAAAATGGGCCTTTGTTGAATTTTTGTCACCTCCGATCGTGTTCTGCCTGCATAAGAGGCATCAAGGCGATTCTTGCTTCCAGCTCCTCAATATAGCGGCGCCTGCAAAATACCAATGCAAACATTAGCAGAAACCAGGTTTAAACAATGATAAAACAAGGTGCATAAAAGTGGGTGTGATATATTTTTTTTACCTTCTTTCTCTATTCATCTGTACAAATTTCCAGCTACCAAGAATCATGAGACCAAGGCCTATACCAAACCTGGTGTATCCTATTGAAAAAAGTAATTGATGAGACAGTGTTCTTTGTGTCATATACATCCACTCTGTGGTTAATGGTTCGTTTCCCCTCTTGTAACAAATTTATAAAATCCCAACATGTGTTATATTTCCGTAGGTTTTTCTAATGTTTTCTCATTAGCAAAAACAAACCCAATTTGCCATAACGTTATTTAATTTATGAACGACTGAAGATAGTCTGCATGTGGCTTTGTTGATAATGCTCGCGATAATGTATACACTTAGAACGTATTAAACTATTGCTTTACAGTGGCGGTTGTCAATGTAGAAACAAATAACGCCTTGATACACAGGTATGAACCATCCACCTTTCTGGTGTAAACAAGAGGAGCCGAACTGTTAGCATTAGCGTTTATCCTTATTTTCTATTGTCGTTAAGGACCGGTTAACGCGTAAACAGTGTGAGTAGTTCTAACTGAGTGATCGGTGCAAATACCAGAGATTCCTCTTTTCGTAAGACTTCTCTTGTAATCAATAGAAGCGTATCCTCCCGAAGGAGCCATGTCCTGCTTCACCTTGGCCCCCGCCATCTTGCTTCAGTTTCCTCGAAAACGCACGGTGCTGACGTCAAATGAGACCTCTTCTTCACTCTTGCAAATTGCTTGCAACGCCGCTGAGCTTTACCACTACCAATGGTTAAGTTCGAGAACTGCATCTGCGAAACCACTACGACTTTGATCAGCATAGAACGGTGTAAAACTCTGCAATATCCACGTCAAATTGTTTCAACATCCAACAACAAATGGCTAAAACGGACCATTCGAAAACGTTCGTCTTTCTTGTCAGCAGTTCTCTTAATAGATATGAGCATATTGGTGAAGATTATACAGATGGAGCCATATTTAGTTTTTTTATTTATTCTGAGACATCTTTTACATTTTGGGTTGTGTGGAAAAATGACTTGAAAATAAAGGAAATAATCAAATGTCACATTTTACTAATTTAATTATTTAATAATAATTTGTTAGTGACAAAGTGTAGTGGTCCAGCTGTACAGCAGGATATACTGTATATAATATTTAATAGGAGATGTATTTAGTATATATTTAGTATAAATTACACACACACACACACACACACACACACACACACACACACACACACACACACACACACACACACACACACACACACACACACACACACACACACACACACACACACATATATATATGTATATATATATATATATATTATTTTTTTGTTTGTTTTTTACCGTAATGTGTTGTGTGATTGCAGTGACTCACATTGATACGACCAAAGTCAACATCCCAGTTTGCTCCAGCCCTGGAGGGAATGATTCGATGAACGATTTCAGACAGTTTTAACTGCTTGTAAATACATATGGTGACAGTATCTGACTATTGCAAGCCCCCCACAAAGATACCATACTGCCCAATCCCACACTCAGGACACCCCTCGATGACCAGTCCAGCAGGCTAAGGTAGTAGTTGTCCTGCAGTCCTGGAACATTAAGACCTTTGTTTGAACGGTTATGAAAGAAAAACCCAATTTGTTATCCCCTCGTACTGGTCAACAAACAGTTCATTTCCAGACTTTCCAACTAATGTTTGAGGGTGGATGCAAGGACTGAAAGGAAGGACCTGCGTTGCTAGGCAACGAGCTAAGGCGCTCTGTCTGGGTAGATTTAACTATAAACAGAAAAATGTACTCATTAACTTAATGTTGAAAGGGCATTTTGTTTGCTGTGTGTTTTTAAAAAGAGGGACCTAAACTTTGGTGTCATTTTATATTATTTTTATGTATTTAATGAGTTAATTTGTTTCCCTGAGGTTTTATATAAATCCCATTGCATTCTTATTCGATATATATTCTCTCCTCATTTAACAACCTTCTCGTATACAGTGTGGTCTTAGTAAACCCCACAGATTTTAAACAAGATATATGCAGGCCAGAAACATTTCATTTAACCCTCCAAACTGGAAATTCTGAGAATAATGCTATTTTTTTTCTGTTTAAGTGTGTCTGTTCAGACCACCAATAACTGTGATTTACAGATGGGACAAACCGCTAATTAACAGGATCTTATAAATTCTTTTATTAGATTTAAAAGCAATTAAACCAACAGATTCTTAAGTAAAATAAGAACCAGGAAAAATGTGCAAAGAAACAGAGACACATTCACTGACGTCAGTCATAAGTTTAAAGACTGATGTGAAATTTCCCCCAAGTTGCAGGATAGTGTACAATTTAAAATGTGTTAAACTGTTTCAATATCTTGGTTAATGTTACTTAATTTATACCAAATGCCCACATTTCTTACTATGGTCAAACTTATAGAAACCTATACAAAGTGCTAAGAAAATGTACAGTAATTTCAAGTGACTTATTGGAATTCTAAGAAAAAAAAAAGAAAACCTCAAATCCAGCAGAAGGTGCAAAAATATAATCATCAAAACTAAATATTTTAAATGGGCTGACTGATTAACATAACATACAGTTTTGCTGCAATTCTGATTCCTCATTAGCATTAGGATTGAAATGTGTGGCTCAGCTGAGTAGCTCACATGGCTCATGAAGTTCAGTTAACACAGTTAAAACACCTGGATGATTTCTTAATTGGCTGTTTGCTACAGTGTGCACTCACTACTTTTAATGCTTTATGTTTGTTATACAGTGATGTTAATGTCGGTTATCCTACAAGAAATTCACAGCACCATTTCGAGCAGAAAGGTAAAAGAAGTGGTTCTCAAAACAACACAGTAAAAAAATATATTTTATGTCTGATTAACTAAGACAGAGCTTGTGTCCCTTAAACCAAAAAAAATAAGACAGTGTTGATTATTGGAAGTCCAGGCATTGCCTTGGGTGACTGCAAAAAGCAATTCAACAGGCCAGACACCCTGATACAACTAGACATACAACTAGAGCATAACATAAAATATGTTCAAAGCAGTGAAAAACTAAAGTTATATCGTGAGACCTGTGAGGCTATTTCAATGGCTCGACAAAGAGCCAGGAGTGGATTTTGGATTCCCAGGACGCTGGTCTACAGTGAGGATGTTTCTCCAGATGTCATTTGAAGCCCGTTGCTGACCTGGAAGCGTGTTTCATCTGATATACCATACTGTTCCAGAGGATCCTGCATTGAGAAGGAGAAAGTGATGAGATAAAAAGAGAAAATAAGCACATTTCACATTAAGTGTACTCTATTGTTCCAATACAACTTGAAACTAAATTACAAAACCAACACACACAGGTGTGAGCAGGTTTACTTTTGCTCGTTCTGCTATCTGTACCATTGATTTTCTAACCCTAACCCCCCTCCTTTTAAGACATTTTATGGACTTTCATTATTCAACTCAGCCAACTCAGTTTAAAAACAATCTCTCTCGTACTACTAGAGGGCGCCATAGCACCCTCATCTATGATGAAATTAGTTTTACATTATCAGTAAATCAATAAGGTAACTTGTTCACAGTGAACGTTACTTTGATGCTCATCTTAGCAGCTGTGATTTTCAGTGCAGTCTGATGTTCTCACCTTGCCAGTGAGCCTGTGGATTTCAGTTCGATAAAATATCAGATTCTTCCTCATGAATTCATAACTGCAAGAAAAGAGAAGAAAGTGAATGTTTAATGGAATGTGACTGTCTGAGATTAAACAGACTATTCTTTTTTACCTGCGGCTGACTGTAAAATACTAATTATTTCAGGGAATTTTAGATCATTTCCAGGGGCATACAAAAATCACAATGTTTGAGGTAACTTTTGAGGACCTCTGGGCTAATTTTTAACATTATTACACCATTCATGCTACTGTACCTGGCTTTGATGATGGAGTCCATCCACTCTCTGCATTGTTCCTCTGAGTCACACTCAAATAAATACTTCCGCTCTGCTTCGTCCAGAAATGCTAACAAGGAGGATAGAGGAACACTCCGGTCAAAGATGTAATTACACATTTACACTGAAAATATTACTCATGATGAAGGTTTACATTCATACCTTTATAATGCATCTATTTGCTTTCCTCTAGTCTTACTTGTGTTTTTCATGATTGTTCCTGTTTAACTTTTGATGCAGTGTGGTCACTTTAGAGTTGTTGTAAATGACATAAATACATGTTGATTGACAGACTATTTGATTATGTTGTCTGACCTTTCTGGCGACATTATTATTTATTAAAATTAAGAGTTCGTTTTTGTTGTGAAAATGTCAAAGAATGCCTAAAGGATGGAAGTCACTCACTGATGGAGAAGCTCTGACGGTCCTCCCTGTCTACTCGACACTGCTCCAGCAGCAAAGCTCCCATCGGCTGAAGACAGATAGTGACTTTAGTCAGATACAAAATTGACATCTGTTATCACTGAATCGTATAGCATTGTTGTTATATCTCACCTCCTCCTCATCGGTCCGGAAGTAGAAGAGGAAGTTGACGACCAGCTTCACCAGCCTCCTCTTAATAACTATTTAAGAACAGAAGCAGGGATTAGACTAAAAATCAGTAAGTAGACGTTTGACAATGCATGCCCTGCAACTGCAAAAGTGTTTTTTGAATAAAAATCAGTAAGTAGACGTTTGACAAAGCATGCCCTGCAACTGCAAAAGTGTTGAGGGTGTGTGTGAAAGTGAAAGTACGTGAAACGTTCAGATACGAGTCTGGGCATTTACCACTCACCGTCTCCTTTCTTGTGCCCCTTCATGCCCAGTTCAGCTGCCATCTCTGACGGCTGGCGGCTCAGAAAGACCAGCTCCTTCTCGTTAAAACGCATCACGGTCACTGACGCAGGAAACTGTCTGTAGCTACAGCCGAGCCGTTACCGGTACATAGCAGCTGGGTAACCTGAGAGGCGATGAACGGGGATAAACAACAGTCCGACTACACTATTTCAGCACTAATGGCTTATTTTTCTGTTGATCTCGAACGATAACGGAAGTTCGTTCATGACTGCAGTCAAACAAACAAGGTAGTGGCGAACCCAACCTTCATGTTACACACCAGACACACGAACATCACGGTTTCCACTGACACGCCTCAGGATTAACAGCACAGCGACTGTCGAGGGACAAAATACAAGAAAAGGGCGAACAGAAAAATCCCGAGTGTTCTCGAGTAAAATTGTTCAAAACGAAACGAAACGAAGTTTGAAACCACACAAACACTATTTTGGGAAACCATTACCTTATCATTAATAGTAAACGATGAAGGAATAAGGATCCTCACTAATAATTCATATATTAATTTATAAGACGAATGTGAAATGTATTAAAAAGCAATTCTGGGACATCATAACCAACAACACCAACAATTTAATAGCAGTAATAACTTTTATTTTTTTCATCTTTGTAAAATAAGTTTTTAATAGAAAAAACATTATGCATTCGTTGTGATTAATACTACAAAATAAATTTCAACACACCAAGTATCATTGAAATATTTGTATTTATTTATATCATATTATTATACTGTATTATAACTACTCGGTAAATCTCTTCCCGTCCAACAGGGAGCGGTAATGCGCCAGCCAGGCAGGCAGGCTTAATCCACCATAGAAGAAGTAGATGTTTGGACTTGCGCGGTACGGAATTACTCCAGCGTTTTTCGAACGTCGTGGACTTGGTGAGTGTTTTTGATCAACAATACCTTTAAACTCGACGCACTTCTCTTATTGTTATACATTGTCGATAGTTAGTTATTTACCACACCAGCTTGATTCGCACAAATACGTTAGTCTTTTAGTTTGAACCTGTTTGTTACCACCACGAGTTCTTAGCCGTAACATTGTTAGCTTAGCATTGGCTAAATAGTCACCGGTACATTGTTTCCAGGGTATGTCGTGCTTCTGCATTTTAGTAACACAAATCAAACATAATTCTGATTGATATTTCATTAATATGATGTGTATATATGCACACAGGTGTTTTGGAACTACAAACTGCAACTCAAAATATACAGTTTGACCGACAGTGACTTTAATGTAATTATAAACACTGCAAAACTGCAGACAAGTAAACACAATGGTGGTCATTGTTTTTATATAGGTTTTACATTTTTAATAAGATATGTGAAAGATTTATTTTCAGCTATCATATAATCATGAATAATAATGACATGGTAGTTATTACAATGACAATAAAGGCTATTCTATTCTTATGTTCCTCGTTCAAAATGTTTGTTTTATTATTTTTCTAGATAACTAGGAAGGATCTGGTCCAAGTAACCGTCCAGTTTTTTGCTGGACACTTAGGTGTTATTGTCAGCTAATCTGACACTCTACAAAGATGGATTTCCAACATCGAGCTGGAGGGAAGACGGGGAGCGGTGGAGTGGCGTCTTCATCCGAGAGTAACCGTGACAGACGGGAACGGTTGCGTCAACTGGCCCTGGAGACTATTGACATCAACAAAGATCCATATTTTATGAAGAATCACTTAGGATCATACGAGTGCAAGCTTTGTCTGACACTTCATAACAATGAGGTAATGAATGAGAAAATACATTTAAATTATCCAAGCTTAGTTTTGTATTTGTTATACAAGATTATAACATGTACCACCTTTTTATATTACAGGGCAGTTACTTGGCCCACACCCAAGGAAAGAAACATCAAACCAACTTGTAAGTCTGTGTCTTATTTTCATCCTTTGGTTTAACAAACCCAAAAGGATTTTAATTGTTACAAGTCTATTATAAAACTATAGTCCAATGGGAAATGTATTTATGTTAAAAGTTTTGCTTGCACTCATTCTTTGTGATGCCCACCAACCCAAAATTGAGGTAACCATTTGATTGTACCTTCCAGAGCACGGAGAGCAGCCAAAGAAGCAAAAGAAGCTCCTGCTCAACCAGCACCAGCTAAGGTCAAAGTTGAAGTGAAAAAGTTTGTCAAAATTGGTCGGCCAGGATACAAAGGTACGGTAGATATTTAAAAAAATATGATTGTAGTGTCTGTACGTAGTTTGTGAGTTGTTTTTTTAATGAGTTTTTTCTTTGTTGTTTAGTTACCAAACAGAGAGATCCAGAGACCGGACAACAGTCTTTACTTTTCCAGGTATCCTTGTCTGGCAAAAATCGCCAAGTAAAAATGTTGACTCTAAGTCAACATTAGTCGTAACTAATTTGTGTCACACACAGATGAATGCAACACTTGTCTTTCTGTGTTATTTTTATTTATATACCATGTAATGGTCTCTATTGGATTCTTATTTATAAACCAGTTAAAAAAACTATCCTCTTTGTCCAAAAGATCGATTACCCGGAGGTTGCTGAAGGAATTGGACCAAGGCACCGTTTTATGTCTGCTTATGAGCAGCGCATTGAGCCACCTGACCGTCGCTGGCAGTATCTGCTGCTTGCTGCAGAGCCATATGAAACTATTGCCTTCAAGGTAAATGGAACTTTTTCACTCGTTCCCACTTTATATTTTTATATATATATATATATATATATGTGTGTGTGTGTGTATATTTTTTTTTTTTTCAGGTACCCAGTAGAGAAATAGACAAGGCAGAAAACCGCTTCTGGACCCACTGGAATAAAGACACAAAACAGGTAGTGAAAAGTTATTAGCTGCTGGCACAAATTGTATTTTTATTCTTAAAAATGTGCCTGTGAACAGCTCACTCACTCTCTTCATTCCTGACAGTTTTTCCTGCAGTTTCATTTTAAAATGGAGAAACCTCTAGCCCCATCTACTGGTCCACCACCTAATGCAGGTGTGAAGCGACCTCCACCTCTCATTGCTGGACCTCGCTCAAATGACAATATTCCTCCTCCACCGGGAGGGATGAGTGTTCCTCCTCTTCCTCCCGGTGCCCCACAGATGCCCATGCCCCCTATGCCAATGAGGCCACCGCCTCCTGAAGGTCTGTCAATGTCCCGCTGATCTGTTTTCAGTGTGTCATGATTGCTTTCTCTAACAGTTTAGACCCAAACTCGTCCGTTGTATTTTTTATATTTTGCTTTCACATTTGATTTATTGTCTCCTCTGGTCGTCATTCAAAATGCACAGGAAGAATTTTGTACATCTGGTTTAAAAAATTGTCCGAGGCAAACTGTAAACTGCAAACATGGACTCCACACTGTTGTTATTCATGTTGGTATTCTGATCTTTTAGGAGTCTTTTGTAATTAAATTCTGTGGAAAAAACCCATTTGCATCTTGACTTTGTGGGTTTTAGTTGTACACATACAATTTATTGACAGATCTTTGGTTGGTGGAACAATTATCACAAATGCTAAGCGCTGAGGGCAGATGTTGTGTATCACAAGCTTAATAACATGAAAACATTTGTTTTTCTTAATGTATTTTTTTATATAAGTGAAATCGCTGTCTAAAAATTAGAGTGAGATTATTCTCCAGTGTTTTAGAAAATCCTAAGTCTCTTTGTTTTCCTCCACAATTTTCTTCTTTTTCTGACCAATTTTCCCATTGCATTCATCTTCAACTCTTTCACCATCTCCTTTTTTGATGTCTTGGTTATTTTCTCTTTCTTTCTTGTCTTTGTTTTCTTCACCTGTGCCCTTCCTTTCCCTTCTGTCCTTGAATTTCTCATCCCGTTCCTTTAAGAGTTCTTTGTCTAGCAGTGGCTTGTTTCGAAGGCCGCTGGACCTACGTCCTGTTGCTCTTTTCTTTGATTTGCGTGTCTTGCCCTCGTCCTCATCATTAAGATCAGGCAGCCACCAAAACATGACTTCCCACAGAGATGTCTCTGGCTATGGGATCAGAAAAGATGTGGGTCCAACAATGAGGAGTTGATGAAAAATGAAAACCATTTTATCCCTGACTGTTCTGTATGTGAATTGTTTTTCTAACAAAGTATGGAATTTCCAAAGCTAGTTTACCTCAGGAGCTCCTCTGTGTCGTATTGAGCTTGTTTTTCTCAGCATCAGCTCCATTTCTTCCCGCTCCTCAACCGTCACACGGCCACGCAGTGTTTCTGTTTTAGGGATGTTGAGATAAAGAATGTTGACTCATTTTAACCACTACATTAACTGGTGACTGCAGGTTTACCTACCGTGAAGCCTCTGAAAACCTGAGGTGATCACGAGTAACGTGATGGCCACAAATAGACATCGGTTCAGGGTGACATTTTCCCACGGTACTTCAACCTGGGTCAGGTTTTGGGTTGATGAGGGTTTATGCAAAGATGCTTACAGAAAGGAAGTTAAAAACAAACTGTTTTTATTTAAATCATATTACAAAGACATTTCTTTAAATATGAAAACAGAATGAACATCTTTTTTGTCTCACTCATTTTGGGGAGGCTCTGTTCTGGGTTCCTGGTAAAACTCTTTGTCTCTGCTCTTATTTGATGTGCAGCTGGAGCCAGTTCCTGTAGAAAACAACACACAGTAGCTTTGATCAAATGTTATGATTATTATCACACCAATTTTCTCGTTTTCAAACTAACCTCTCGGAATTTTCGTGTGGCATACATTTCTGAAACACACAGATGAAAAATGAAGTGTTATAAAACAAAATGTACAATAACTGTGATCTAAGCAGCCTTTTCAGCACTTGTCAGTGTTGTGTAGAGCAGTGAGACCGTCTGTATATCCATCCCACACAGCTGAGGTGCATTATCACTGTGCTGCTCTGACCAGGAGTCATATTTCAGTGGCTCTCTGTGCTGATGTCTCCAAGTATTTATAGAGTTGCACAATATAAGTATCACAAGGTTGGAGTCTGTTTTATTGTACAATAGACATTACTGATTCTGTCTGTGTCTGCGAATGTCTGTCTGTGTGTCGCCACCTGGTCTGCGAATCTGTCGAAGAGGCTTGAGTAGATGAGGAGGATCTGTCCTCCGTGGCCCCAACTCCTCCTCAAATGTCTCATAGCTGTCTTCCATCCTTTTCCTGGGAGAATTTGAGACAATAAACAGGGAGAGAAGGCAGTTTTAAGATGATTAAGCAAAGTTGGGCACAGCTGCGGTTAAGTCTTTTGATGTGAAATATTTGATGTCTACTTCAAAGATTTATACAGTGCTGTCGGCATTGTTTGTGTTTTGTAAGTGGTGGATCGAGACCCAAAAGTGGTTCACTTGGCTAAATTTACTGGGTCATGGTCATAAATGATTTGATTACCACCAGCAGGAGTCACAGCACGACATGGAGGCACTGTGTATTGCTGTATTTTGCTGAAATAGTCCTTGATTTATTTAAATCAAGTTTGGATCTTGTTCACATAAATCAAACTAAACAAGAAACGAAATACTTTGGATTTAGTAATAATTTATGGATACCATGTTTTCCCACATATGGATGGTAAGGCACATGGTAATAGAGTGGTTAGTGTAGTTGCCTTACAGCAGAAGGTACAAGAACATGACCAGTTCTGGTAACTGATAATATAATATTATTTTAATCTTGAAAAGGAGTAAGCAGCAGAGGATGAATGAATGAATGTCAGCAATAGTTAAGACAGGAGTTTTCACCATATGTTGTTAAAACTGACATTGCACCCCTTTAAGAAAACCTCTGATTTATACCAGAGAAAACACTGAGTCACATACTATTCAAGCATTTCTCAAGTGATTAGATAAATCTGCGGCAGCTTCTTGAACTTCATTTACAGATTAATGCAGGGAGGCCCTCGTGTTGTTTGACATTTCTAAACGAACACTGGCTTTAAGCTGCTATAAATAGATGAAGCAATGTCACTAGTGAGAGAAGAATACAAACACTGCATTCAAATACACAAAAATGATGACATCATTTCTGTGATGCTAACCTGCTTATGGCTACGACCCACTGAACTGAAACGAAACCTTTTGACCCTTATATGAATGTTGACCTACCTGCTTGAACATTGAGGTTCCCCAAGGCGGCTTCAGGGATCCTTTGTCACAGAGTCTGTTGTTCCTCTGCTGTGATGGCAGCAGAGTCATGCTCTCAACTGTCTGACTGCCAAGCACAGGTGCTGGAGAGTGAAAAAACAAAAAGCAGCACATGTCAGTCAGTGGTGTTGACTGAGTCAGAGCTGACATTACTACTGAGCTAACAGCTGTCACATCACACTGGATGGCAGGTTGGATTAAGATGTGATAAACTGCAGACCTGGTTGGAAAAATAATTTTCCTTTTTAGGCACAGAGGGAGCAGCATAGGGGTTCTGATACACAATGGTGGCACAAATCATATTTAAGTTTTCAATATATATAAATTAAGTAAAAACAACCAACAACATCCAAGAGTCAAACATTTAATATATACATTGTTTATCCTTTAAATGCTGTTACTTTTCTACTTATATTTTTCTGAATATACGGTATGTGTTGCAGTTAACCAGCAGAGGGCGCGCCTTAACTTCAAACTGGAGCATTATTAGTTCCATATAGGAGCTCCATGCGTGGGCTGTCACACTGATAATCAGATTGAAATGACGTAATGACACATTTAATATTATGAGATGACCATTAAATGGACTCCTTCAGCCTGGTACCTTCAACATACACAACATTTCATCGGTTACATACATTACATTTGGGTCCTGAGCCCTGGTTCTGTTGGACCCATACATGGTCTGATAATTTACCATCCAAATTTCCAAAAGACAGGCAATGTGGCTTTGAATAAAAACCAAAAACCTTTTATGCTAATTTAACATCTATTTCAGACAAAAACCAGAGGTGAGCCCATTTTTAACAAAGACTAAGCCACTCAGGTCCAGACAGTGTTAGAGGAAAATTACTCGCTGAAGGGCTAAAGAAACCTGCTTTCATTTGTTTCATTCAGTCTGTGTCCCACTTTGAGGTCACGATCCTTCATTTAAAATATAGTGGCTCAGAGCACATTTCCTCAATATCTACAGTACAGCCTTCACTGACTGAGGCAGGCAGGGAAAGTGATGCTGTGTGTTATGTGTGATGACTGGCTGCTGTCAGGCTGGATGCTGGATGGATGGAGGCGGCCTTTATGTGGGCAGGAAACTTTAATGTTGATGACTCACAAACTTTGCTTTGATTCTGCCCCTAATTCCAGCTGAGTCACACAACTCTTTATAACCCTGCATTAATAAACTCCTTTACTCTGCAAGAACGCTGACTAGAAGGCAGCATGGTGCTGGTTATGGTACATCATATATTCCTTTTTGACGTCACATTAAAAAACTGATGGCACAGCCGTTTGTTTCTTCGATACTTTATAGTCAACACTTTTAAAGTCCTAAAATTCTTCAAGCGCTTATTCATGAAACATTCTCCGCTTTCTAATTCCTCAAACAGAGAGGTGCTTTTATACACGAAAACAACTTTATTAGCCAAACAACATTAGGATTTATTAGTAGCTTCCGTAATTTAATTATATAAGAATGTGTGTGCAACGAAACTAACTTAATAATGAAACCTTCATCAAAAAGCACTCCTCATCCTGTAAAAATAGAACAGCTGAAGTTTATAAAAACAACCTGCTGTAACATCTCATCAGTCAAAGTGTAAGAGCTTTACTAGGAGCTTTATAACAACAAAGTTACAACAACAACAACAAAAACACTATTAGCATTCGTTAGTGACATAAACCAGCTATTTCATAATTTAACAGCCATAATCTCTCCTTGTAAACAGTGTTAAAATTGTGAAATTATTTTTTTAAGATTTATTGTCTATTCTACCTTGACTCAATTAACTAACTATTCTGTTTTCATCATCTTTAGAGTATTCCCAGGACAATCAGTCGTTGTGTTAAAGGTTGGCGTCTTTGACTTTTTGTGGAGTGTGTGGCTAAAACTGGTCGGAGTGGATTACATCCGTCTTCATTCCTTCCTGTTCCAAGGTCTCAGCCAACCATCTAAGTGTCTTGGTGTGACACCGTCTGTTTCTTCTTGGCTCAGTGCAGACTTCCTCTCAGTCAGTTTGTTTACCAATGGATCTTCTCTCAAAGACATAGGAACACACCGACTGCTGTAAGAAAGTAATTAAGAAAAAAAAGGATGGAAAAAAGGAAGAAAAGTGTCTCGTCCCTTCACCTCCATTCAGGATCTTCACGCTCGTCATCGCTGTCCTTTGCCGTCATTATCTGTCATAAATGTTTCAGAAGATGAACATCCATTTTGAAGGTGTTCTACTTTCTTGTGTCAAAAAGAAACCCTTTTACTGTGGAGCCAAAGTCTTTAAGAATGTTTGAAGGTCAACACGGGGCCCGTGCGGACCCACTGTGTCCAATAAGTGAGCAAACACTGCTTCCGGATATCTGTGTTCCAAATTCAGACACAGGAGTTTTCAAGCTCAGCGAGGGCTTTTGTCCCCTTTTGCCCTCATATAATGGGAACTGTACTCTGAGGACACGGTGACTTCCACCAAGTGAGAGACTTTATATTGCATATTTTATACTGTGTATAATAAGAAGTGAATTTTAATGGCTTTTTAATACCACACAGTTTTGCTCTGATTTCAATTTATTCTGGCACTTTATACTTTATTAATTCTGTTGCACTGTGCCATTAAAAATGAATACATGAAATTACTGAGGTTGTTATAGACAAAACAAACTGCCAGTCTCAGAGTAAATAAGTGGAACAGCACCAAAAAAAAAAAGTGCTCATTTTTCAGACAGCCTCGGAGGAGCTTCCTGCCTTCCAGCACAGATATCTGTCTGTGAAATAAACATCCACTGCATCCACTGATGCACTCAGAGAGTAAAACCCGCATTTGAAGAGTAATGACACTGGCTCCTCAAGGATTCCCTCGTACGTCTCAGCCCCGTGTGCTGTTCACGTTTAATCTTCAACCAAAGCCTTCACTTTCTCTGGGAGTCACTGTGGGACTCTGTGTGTTTCTGTGCTGCTGCTCTTCAGGCAGCGCTCTCCACCTTTGATCTGTTAGACACCGCAGCGTGTAGCTGATCGGATGGTGAGCACAAGTTCTGTCAAGTTCACTGGGGAGAACCCCCTTTAATCTGGACCATGGCTTCAGGCAGATCATGTTCCAGCAATTTGATAATCAGCCCTTCACATTTCCATCGCAGGAAGTGTAGGCTCAGAGAAGCCTGTCTCTGAACGGAACAAGAGACCCTGACCAGGAGTGCTGAGGTGGTCATGAAAATATCAAAATGGTTGCTGGTTCACATTCAGCTTTGAAAAGATGGCCTTTAGTAGTGGAGGTAACATTTCTGCTGTGCATGTTGGTTTTCAGGACTACTCAGATTTGCAGTACTTCTGAGGTTAACTGGATACTCTTAAGCTCTACCCTACTCACAGGCCAACAACAACAAACAAAACCAAAATGTATGTGTTATAACAGCGCAGCACATACTCTGCTAATACTACAAATTCTGCCAATATATTGAAACTATATACTGGCGGGCCAGCTCTAGTACACATTTGATATGATCTCCCGGGCCAGATTTGGCCCCCGGGCCTCAGTTTGAGGAGATTTGAAGATGCAGTTAGAACGTGAGATAAGATATCTCTGTGTGCCTTGACGTGGATACATGCTGAAGTAGTACACCTTGTGATATTCTCAGGTCTTGAAACTGTCTTCTGAAAAGTACTTCATGGGATTTTTTGGGGAAAAGGTTCCTTAAATAACAAAGTTCATATTCCATGTAGTCTGGGTCGTAGCTGCAGTTCAGTGTGCTCTTTTAGCATATGCAAATAGATTTGGGGTCTTCCCCTGTGATGTGAAATGTCAGGTGTCAACTCGTCACAGTGGCGTTATCTCCACCTACTGTTAAGGAGTGTGAACAGGCCACTCTTGGCCTGTGACCAGATTTTAAACAATCAAAATGCCGTCTACTGTCTTTGCCTTACACGTGCATCCTTGTTTTTTAACTTTGCATTCTGAAAGTGTGAATTATTTCCTGTGGACATTAGGGAGCTGCTGTCAGACAGTAATATGTTGTAGACTCCTGGCACTTCCAGGAGTTTTCAAATGGCTTTTTACCAATTATCCAGCTTTGGCAGTAGAGGCGGAGACTGTACTCCATCTGTCTGGTTGGGCTATGATGAAAATTCAAACATCCGAGCCTTGTTTTTCTGGTTGAAAGCTGCACCACACTGGGTCACACACTGATATTTCAACCAAATATCCTGAAGTCTAACGTCTTTATTACAAGGCGAGCTCAGTCAGGGGTTCGGGAGAAAATGATAGAACTGGAAAAAAAAATCAGTGTAGAGTAATTGGATTTAGATATTGGATTTTCTTAAACATCTATGGATATCCAGTTAGACTTGCCTGATTGTGGATATGAACTTCATCATCTCGCTGCTACAGAGCCGGCTGTAATTGAACTTTGATGCAGAGGTATTCAGCCGGTACTGTTCTTGTTCCATTGTGCTACTACTCATCCTTCCTTCTTATCTTTCCGTTTAACGTCGCCTCCAAGCGATTAACCTTTCAAATTGTCTCACTGTTTTTTCTTAAATATTCCTCTCACTTGGGAGGTACCAACGATAGGCTCTTTTCCTAGAAATTAATCGCTTCACTTTCAGAGGTGCCTTAATATGTTCAGGTGCTTCCTCCCCATCTCTGTCTCTCTGTCTGTGGCCACTTTACGTCTGCAGGCCACTTTATTGATGGAGTAATTTGCCCTGAGATTGTACTGCAGTCTCCCGGGTGCTATGTGTATTAATTACCATCTATTCATCTGAGGCTGTTCAGCCTTTCGACGTACTGCAGATCAGCAGTTCCAGGCCGGTGCTTCACAGCGTCCGTCGTCGCCTTAATGCTCTGACCGTGGCGCGCGTGTCGGCAGGACGAGGAAGATTTATTGCACTTCAGCACTGACCGCTCCATCGGCGTCTGGAAATTGAGGCCACACGTTCACACATTTATGTACGGTATGCAGAGTTTTCATCTTGAGATGCCTCCTCATCGCCACTCCCCTGAAGTCAAGCACTTTCATGCATGTTACTGGAGCAGGCCAGTGATCAATATCTCATCCCAGTGTCCTGGAGTCATTACAGCCGGTGCTCATGCTAATGAATTTCAGATAAATCGTTCGATTTTGCACAATAAGAATCAGGCGAGGAGAGCGGTGGTGATTTAGGGTTGTGGGAGTGGATGGTGTGTGTAGACATGGAAACCATGGAGTGTAGATGAGACAAAGGCAGATGGGACTCAGACCTGTGGGTGTTCATTATCTTATTAGTGAGGCTATTTCAGGTTCATGAACATGGAGGAGTTATTTACCCATGATTCTTTCTCTGCCGTATTCTGAGCCCAGGAAGCAGAGATATTGATATACACAGGTGTTAAAATGAACAATCACTATTAGATCTTCCTGTATTTAAAAATAAACCCAACACTAAAACACATTCTCAGTGGTTACTAACCTGCTAACCCACTGCACACCAGTTGAACATCTAAGACAAAACACAGACATTTCATCAGGAATTTCTCTCTACATTATTATTATTATTATAAAGGATTATTTTCATTCTTATTATTTTTCATCCTTCTTTTGCATTTATATAAAAATACAGTGGTTCCTCGGTTTACGATGTCCTCGACCTACGGCGTTTCGTAGTTACATTGCCAAATGTTTTGTTTTTGTTCTGTTGAAGTCTAACAAAGGAGCAGAACAGGAGTCTCTCTAATGCACAATCAGACAGTTTCTATTGATAGAATTTCACTTGCATGTATTGTTTGCGCCGTCATAACTGCTCTGTGTGTTCTTTTTGTTTCCTCCCACAGTGAAGTGCTTTAGAAATCTCTAAAAATTAACAAAAACATTCAAAAGGAAAAGGAAAAGAAACAGACAGTCACCTCTGTGATGGCTTTTCAAAACCTTGCTGACCGAATTCAAAGGTAGCATTTTTTTCTTTCTCTCTCTGAGACGGTTTGACCTCTGTGCACCTTCAAAGCCTCGCTCCCTCGGCTGTTTGTATGTGAGCAGCCTTTCTGCTGGGCTCCGCTTGTCAACTGATTGTAGATAATTACAGCTATTTGACTGCAGCTTTCACAGCCGGTGATTTCTGTAGGCACTTACAGAGGACGAACACGCCGAGTGGGGGCCCTTAACTACCCCCGGAGATACCCAGACACAATGTAAGAGTGAGAAGGAGGGGATTCAAATTGTGACTCCGACTGGAGGTGGTGTTTACAGATACAGATTTACACTCATAAACTCCTGCATCCTTACAACAGAAGTCGTAGGCGAAGAAAAAAAAAGATAATATATTTGTACCCATGAGTTGCAGCATTTAAATCCAATGGCTAAAAATAGCCTCATTTGCATGATTGCATTGTTGTTATGTTATATGGTGAGGTGGAATTCGTCCAACGGCAGCCAGCGGCGATTTCAAGATCTTTGTCTGGTGATTTTCTCTGGATACTGACCCTCTGTCTCGCACGTAATGAGCCTAATCCTTCTTTGAAGGAATGCAATTGTTCTTGAGCTGTCATACATTAGCTACATGCCTCTCAGCTCAGTGCTATATCCAGAACAGTAGGAATGAGTCAGACTCTTTATGATGACAGCTTCCCCCATCTCTCTCTCTGTCTCCCTCTCTTCTTCTCACTGTCTGTCTGACACTTTTTTCCTCCTTCACTCCTTTTGTCTCTGCTTGTCGTCCCCTGCGCCCTCCATCTGTCCCACCTACACCTTACATAAGGAGCTTTGTCTTTAGTGGCACTGGAGAATTAAGGACCCATCGCTCAACAGGACCTCCAGACCTCTGTCTGTCACTGGGCTTGTTGGAGAACCCCGACAGCTGCCCACCTGACCACAGGCCTGAGCAGATGATAGCTAAAGGAAGATAATAACAAAGAAAGGAGACACGCTGGCTTTCATCCAGACCGACGACAGACTGTCTTATATAAGAATATTTGGTATTTTCATCAACTAAGAACTTACTGAATGAAATTGAACACATTTTTCTGCTAACTAAACCTATAGTCCAGTGGTTCTCCAACCTTTTCTACTCTGTACCACCTGAGAAAACATTGAGCTCTCCAACATTAGAATACAGCAGCACAGGCCGTCCCTGTTAGCTTCCACCACAGGAGAGATGTTTATAAAGATAATCATCTTTATGAAAATGTAATAATTGTGCACGGTATGTTTCAGATTTATTCAACTGAAAATGTAAATGTGAAAATATGAATTTTCGTGTACCACTGGTGGTACGCATACCACAGTTTGAGAACCACTGCTGTAGTCAATGCAGGAAATGAAAACTAAGAAACTTGACACTCCCAGACACTCCCATTATAACAACTAACAACATGTGAACAAAAGTGAGAGCGTATAAATAATTATAACAAAGTTGCTGTTGACAAATTCCTCTGCAGGGTGTTTTTGTGCTCAGCAACACGAAGCCTCACAATGAAATAGAAACACACTCAAAAAAGCCGCCGGTTTTAGTTTGTATTCATGATCTGTGAAATGAAGGCAGGTGAAAAATGAAATAAAGGCGAGGACGAATTGACAACGGCTGAAGTGAAAGGAATCCACTGCAGGTCTCATGTAGGTCTGCGTTGGAAGAAGGAGATGCCTATGTATGAACACACAACACAGACACTGACAAATGGACAAATCCTTCTGATTTCACATGCAGGCTCACACACACACATTTTATGGCCATAGACTTTGCCGTCCGGAGTCTGATGACCAATTTTTTACGTCTTTGGTGTAATCGTCTGTGTGAAAGAATTACAAAGGTCTCAAACATGAAGGACAATTAGACGATAAAGTCTTTTCTTCTTCTTTTAGTTAAATGTAAATACTTACCCAGATGAGGTTTCGCAGTCATCTTCCTTTATTTATCCCAACAGACAGTGATCATCCAGACATCTACGCATTATTTATCTTTTTATTGTTTTTTTTATTTGCTTCTTTGAGAGCTCTGGAGCAATTCAGGGAGCCAGATTTACAGGCAGTTTGGAAAAACGAACAGCAGTGAAGAATAACAGTCGATCCCCAGATCAATACAGCAGCTGGAGGTGTAAATTGTGTGCTTTGTTCACTGTACAGTGAGTATAACACACTGCTGTGTATTAGTGTATTAACTGATGATAAATCTGATCTGTTCTTTTTCCTAAATGATTGTACAGCATTGTCTCCATTCCATCCATACATTCCCACAGCAGGTGCAGCAGAAATGAAATTAGACCATTTATTTTTACATTGGGCACCGGGTGCAGTAATTAATGTAAACCTTTAGCCCATCTATCAGTGTCCAGGAACACAAAGTGGCTCTGCTGAGTGCTCGTTGGCAACTCCGGCGAATTTAAACGGAGCTCAGACCAAAACAACCTCTCTGCAAACGTGATGAATCAAGAAACCTGCCACATCATTTTATTTTACTTTGCCCAAACCTGTGCCAAGGGCAATAATTCATTATGAAGGTTCTCTCTGTAGCAATAAGGTCTTTATAAGCTGCATCTACGCTGTGCTGCACCGGCCTTGGTCTCAGGTGTTAGGTGGTCCTGCCAGGCAGAGAGCAGTCCAGCCTGCATCAGCACACATCATCTATCCCCCTCAGTCTCATTCTCCTCTGGGAGATGGAGCTCTCATCGCTCACCCGTCTCCATCAGCCTTGGTGATTGGCTTATTATCAGATGCTCTGCACAGAAGAAGAAAGGGCCATGCATCACGGCACACACACTATCTGCTCACACACACGCGCTGACAAAATGCCTGTTAGCACATGCACTGACTGCGAAAAACACATCATAGTACCTTGAAGAATAATATCTTACATGTACCTGAAGGGTCTGAAGTCACTACTATGGACAAACAGGTGAACAAATGCTGAGGGCAGTTAGCTTCAAAAGCTAAACACTGATACATGGATGTTTTCACACAATTTAGCTAAAACCAACAATCTCAGTTGATGTATGGGCTGATGTCACCATTGTATGAGGATATATGTTTACCTTTCATATGATTATGTTTGATTTCTGTGTCACTGTTATCATAGAAAGAATCTTCACAGTTTACATAGCGTAGCTGCAGTATTTCAGTACTTCATCATTGTGAACATGTGTGTTCTCCTAGTACTGGTTTCACATCCACAGTCAAAAAACCCCCATGCAGAATTAGGTTAAGTGGACGCTCTTGATTCTCCGTCTCTTTGGACTGAGTTGTTTGTCTCAGTCTGTGGACCAGTGCCTGCCTGCAGGGATTAGAGGAGCGTTTGTTTTCCCCCCCTTGAAGCAAGAAGTCTTCTGTCCTGATTCAGGCAGATGGAGCTGCTGTGTGATGTTTGCATGGTTGACCAGTTTGTGGAAGTGTTTTATTTTTAGCCACAGATAGGAGATTAGCTCAATGGTTTGGATGTGGGTGTAAACGTCTGTCTGTCTCTACAGTTGCCCCTGGGATGTATACATGTACTGTGAGGCCAGTTTTAGATGGGAGGGGCTTTACTACCTGGCTGCAACAACGTGAAATTCTTTGCCATCTTTTCAAAGACACACCTAGTCATCTGTGAAAGATTAGTCTGACATGGAGAAATGCACTATGGGAAAAAGACTAACTATAGAGTTTACCTCTGTGCGTGAGTCCTGCTAATGAACTACAAATCTGCGTCCCTGCTTTGGTGGAAGCCATGCATACATTACTGCAGAGAGGGCTATTTAAAGAATATAATAATGATAATGACACATTACATCACGTCACTGATCCTAAAGACTGACTGCACTGAGAACCTGCTGATGTGTGTGGAACAGATATATATGGCTGCAGGTCTCAGGTTATCTGGGATTTATCTGCTCCAAAATCTTCTCATGAATTTATCACTGTCACGACAGATGAGATGAGTGACACGTGCAGAGTCCTGGCAAACATCTGCAGCAGTGGAATGTCGTGGTGTAATAAACTCCACCGTGCTGGAATAATCACAGTGTTTCAAGCCTGATTACACTGCAGCTATAGAACAAGGGCGGAGGTAGATGAGGACAAGGAGGGAGGAGAGTGTGGTGGCAGGAGTTTAGAGGTCAGAGGACCAGCATCAGGACCAGCATCCTGAGAGAGAGAGAGAGAGAGAGAGAGAGAGAGAGAGAGAGAGAGAGAGAGAGAGAGAGAGAGCTAGACGGGCGAGTGTTAGATTTATAAATCTACTTCTCCGTCTGAGGTGAAATGAGGTAGCTGACAAAAGCCCTAACAATCTCCCACCTTCCTGCTCTTTTATCTACAAATGCACAGCACTTCTGCAACCAATTTGATACAGTAGTTCTGCCAAAGCCTCCACATCCCCTTACATTTCTACCCACTCACTTGGTTATTCCTCTCTACTTTAAGCTCTAATGCTTGCATTTTGATTTTCCCCTTTCTGGCAGTTTTATTTTTCCTCTTGCCCACCGGTCCAGTTGCCATTTCTTTCCTTCTTTACAGAACCTTTTTTTTAATTTTCTCCTCTTCTCAGTCTTCTTCCTGTCCGTCTCTGACCTGGCCTCAGGCCTTTCTTCTTTAAAGCCTCTAAAACACTGGGAACTCTTCCA